TCAGGCATTATGTAAACCGTAAACAAGCATGATTTATACAGAAGATAACAGACAGCGTCAGACCGTAGTCGATTTAACATCGGAAACACTCGCATAATTGATATTGTATAAAAATTGATATTGTATAACAGACAGCGTCAGACCGTGCTTATCCCTGAAGTCGATATCCGGCGGCGTGTCTTGGCATATGTAGGCTTCTATGTTGTGGCTTCTATGTCGATTGTGTTGGGTGTTGATCCCTTCATGGTGGATGTCTGTCCCCCTGTCCTCCTAGGGGGGCTTGTATTTATACCCATAGGTGTCCCCTTGTCCAAGTAGAACTAGGGAAACCAATATGGATATAATTCGAGTAGTACTTGTCGTTTCCATGTAGAACTCTGGTTGTCTTTCCTTATCTGGAACTCCTTCGAGGTCAGTTTCCGTATAAGACATGGTATGTGGTGGATCCTGCCGAGATTTAGTCAACTACTATTAGGTATGTATTAGGTATGTGGTATCCATAACCCTGACAAAATGTGGGGAAAAACTAATTGCGCAGTTTGCATGTAAATTGCGAGACGAATCTTTTGAGCCTAATTACGCCATGATCTGACAATGTGATGCTACTGTAAACATTTGCTAATGACGGATTAATTAGGTTTAATAAATTCGCCTCGCAGTTTACAGGCGGAATCTATAATTTGTTTTATTATTAGTCTACGTTTAATACTTCAAACATGTGTCCGTATACTTAAAAACTTTACACCCAAATAACTAAACACACCCTTAAAACAAATTTTATATATTTATTTTAAGAAAACACACCGTTTATATAGCGGTAGAAGCTTGGAAAAGTGTCCAAACCAACAACCACTTGTAAGGAACTGTAATATTTTTTTTTTGGAAAAAAGTTTATATGATTGTGAAATTAGAGGGATATTTAACTTTTCGTCACTTTTAAGATGTGGCAATTAATTATCTGCCACTCGCTGTCTATAACATGTGAGCCCTCACGTATCTATGACATATGGGTCCAGTGGCAAATCATTTATCATCACTCCTAAGAGTGACAAATCTTATATACCGATTGTAGGGCCCGAAACCAGTAACACCTGGCCACGTGTCTCCTTGGCACTCCTTTTGCACCGTTTGATTAAGTATCGACGGCTAAAGTTCGTTGCGGTGGACCTCATCGTAAAACTACGGAGTTACTGTATTTTTTATTTGCAGAATTGCTCGACCCTAATCCACTGGCTCCTCCGCCACCCGCGCGTTGCGGCCGACCACCCGCTTCATGTTCTCCCTCAACGGCGTTGGGCTCGTCTTCTTCACATTCGCCTGGCCACCTCGCCCTCCCCTGTGCTTCCCGCCGCCATGCTGCCGCCCTTCCTCAACGCTTCTATCTCACCGACAGGAGTCACCCTCGAGAACGCCCGTGCCAATACAGACTTGCCAGATCCATTGAACCCGGGGAGAAAGAAGAGGGACGGCACTGGCCATCGGCCCGGATCAGGAGAAGGGAGGGGCGCTAACTAGCGGAGGAGGAGAGGAGGCGGCGTGTGCGAGTGAGTGGTGGCCTGCCGGATCCTCCGCCACCTGCGCGTCACGGCCGATGACGCCGCGGCGAACCACCCTCTCGTGTCCTTTATTTATACTCCTTCCATTTAGAACACCAAAGAACTGGTTAAAATTACCTGCAATTGGTGCTAAATTAAGGCACGTGTTGAGATATTTTCAGCAAAGAAAATCAAGCAGTGTCTTCCCTAGGATCATTGGTTCTCTTTAGATCTTTCGTTGAACTTGTAGAGAGGAAAATACCCAAGTAGGATGCATGCATGCATGCCTGCAGGCGAGTACCAAAATCACCGAGCCTATACTAAGGGATACTGGATGGTGATGCAAATGAGCAAAAGAGGCAGAGAGTAAGTGAATGGACGCAAGCAACGCTAGCTGTATCGCACAACTCACACTCACTGGTGCTTTGTCCAGCACCAAAGCTCACTACTAGATTTTTGCGCCGATAATCACATCGGCTTGGGAATATGGGAGTTGTCTTCCGGATGCGGAGGGCGAAGGTATCGTGGGCTGCGGATCCGGCCGCTGGCCCGAGAAGCAGGAGGGATTGCAGGAGGTGGGGGACAGGGAGCGCATCACAGACTTCTCTTTACTGATGTTGCCGGCGCAACTTCAATCTTACAAACACAGGCGCCTTCGAGCTTCATGCAAAGAAGGCTATAGACTGAAGGCCGTTGTAGTAGCGACACGGCGGCACCGCGGTGAAGACGGAGACACCGAGGTCGAGCGAGGAGCAGATTGATGAGTGGAGAGCAGCGGAGGAGTCGAGACTCAAGAGTGGGGACTGCGGACTGGGAAGGACAATAATAAAAAAAAGCCAGGCCTCTTTGCAATCTTTTATTCAGGATAGAATGAACTAGCAAATGAGATTACTGTGTTCGAATCTGACGAAGATTTAGATTAAATGCGGACATGCAAAACGAGATAACTATTAGCATATAATTAATTAAGTTTTAATTATTACAAACTTGAAAAATTGATATATTTGATATTTTAAAGCAACTTCCACATAGATTTTTTATTACATGAAACACACCGATGTTTGAAAAGTGTACTAACGAAAATTAAGGTAAAATTTTGGGAAAAGAATGCTACCGACATCTTTTGCTCCCGCTTGATGCAAACGTTATGCTCCTTGAGTACCAAATTTTCAAACAAATAATCAATTCATTAGTTTCCTTTACTGTGTAACTTGAACTTTTTAATGTTATGCACTTAGAACGTTATATTTAAGGAATAAGAAGATAAAATTATTTTTTTTGAAAAAAGGATTTCCTCGATTCTTATACACATGTGGAACATGTGGAGGGAAAATAAGTAGTTTCATTACATTGGTTGGTTGGAATTTAGAATTTGTACGCACATATTCGTCTTCCAACTTATGTCCATCATCTCAATGTCTTGCTGCTTTCAATTAATATATGAATAAAAGGGTAAATTTCCATAATTTCAAGCATTAAATAGATAGAGAAAATAGATGTACTTATAAGACCACTAGCAAAAGTGCCCGTGCGTTGCACCGGGTGATTACGGAGTGTGTATATTGACCAAAAGTGTTGTTTGGTCTAGCAAAAGTGCCTGTGTGTTACAATGTGAAGCGTACAGATTAGAAAAATATGCAATTAATTAAAATACAAATTCGTTGAAATATTTGGTATTTTTAAGTAGGTATGTGTATAATTAAATAAATTTACAAGTAAAGCAAGTGTGAGAAATAAAATGACATGGTTAAATTTAATTTTTTTTAAATTCTCCATGATTAGTTACGCTCTTTGAAATTATATTTGAATTTTTCAGAGCTTAATTGTTAATTTTATTAATACAAACGTCATTTAACAATTATTTACTTGGAAAAAGAAAGAAAATCCTTCCTTTTAGGTTTGCTTCGAAATAAACACATTCAATAACTTATAATTGTAATGCTTCTGAAAAAATGAGCACTAAAAATGAACTTATTCTCTTTTTTTGGGCCTGAGGGACCTAAAATAGACTTATTTCCGGCCCTTGCCGGTCGGTCCACGGCCTTTTGTGCACGCGCAAGTGCACTTCCCCTCCCCAGGCCACAACCTGGGCTTGGGCCAGAAAAGTGGCCTCACTCTCGATCCCTCTTGGGCTGATTTCGGCCTGGACGACACCGATCGTCCGATCTTTAGGGTTTTGATCGGACGGCCGAGCGTCGATATCGGGGAAACAAAACCCCTCCTTCTCCTCAGCCGCCGAAACCCTAGCCCATTTCCCTCCCTCCCATCTCACATCGCCGCCCTCCCCTCCGCGCCCCCGAGCGGCGGCGACGGCGCCTCTCTTCCCGCGAGCGGCGGCGGCGGCGCCCTCCCCCACAACCAACGGCGCGGCGCCCTCTCCCCGAACAACGGCGGTGTGGAGGCGGCTGCGGCCCGGCGGGAGTGGGAGGGGCGGCAGGCCGGACCTCGCCTCCGCCAGATCTGGCGGCATGGAAGCGGCTGTGGTCCGGCGAGGGCAGGAGAGGCGGCGGCGTCGTCTCTTTCTCTCTCTCTGTGCATGGTGGGGAGGTGCGGCAGTGGTGGTGGTGGCGGACGTCATGGAACGCCGGTCGGGCCTCGCCTCCGCCAGATCCGGCGGTGTGGAGGCAGCTGCAGCCCGGCGGGGGTGGGAGGGGCGGCGGGCCGGACCTCGCCTCCGCCAGATTCGGCGGCATGGAGGCGGCTGCGGTCCGACGGGGGCGGGAGAGGTGGCGGCATCGTCTCTTTCTCTCTCTCTGTGAATGGTGTCGGTTCTCCTGGTGATGCTAACCGAATAGGACTTGGTATAACAGATGGAAGTTTGTTTCCTATTTTTATGGAATCGGACATATTCTTTTTTTTTCCCGATTTTTCTTTTACCGCGTTGATGAATCGGATTCGTTCCGGTTTTTTTTCACCCGGTTTTTTTGACGGACGATGGAAGCACCTCTTATTTTTTAAGTAGTAGTAGATAGATATTATTTATTCCTCCCATTTCATATTGATTAGTTTTTTCACAAAAAAAAACTTAAGTAAGTGGTGGTGAAGAATAAGGAAACATGCACACTTTTAACTCCCCCCCCCCCAACAAGAAAAGAGAGCTTTACTACCTCAAATACCTATATGCATGCATGCAAACCCAATTTTCATGCTTAGATGTAGTAACTACACCAACATTACATAATAATCAACTTGAAATTTTTGATTTTAGTCAATTGATGATCAATATATAACGGATGGAATATTTCATATTGGCTGGTGCATTGTGCGGCAAGGCCGCATCTATTTTCTAGTAATTAATTATTCCAAAATTAGAGATACAATAAAACGCTTTATCCAAACGGCGTCGGTGACGCCAACGACACTGGTTGGAGTTGGACACGCCGACCCCACACGCAGCGACACACAAACGGCGGGGATTACTTCGCCGTTAAGGCGTACACTAAACCAAACCGCGTGGTCGACTGGTCGTCTCCTCCTCGAATCAAATCAAACGGAACCGAATCCCATCTCCCCAATAATAAAAATCCCCAATTCGCGTCTCGTCTCCTCGCAAATACGACGCGTTCCCAAATCCCCCAATCCGATCTGCCTTTCCTCTTCCTCCTCGTCAAACCCTAGCCAAATCCACGATCGGGGCTAGCTCGTCGGCGGCGGCGATGGGGAACCCGGAGAAGCTGATGACCCAGATCTTCGACCTCAAGTTCACCTCCAAGTCGCTGCAGCGGCAGGCGCGCAAGTGCGAGAAGGAGGAGAAGGAGCAGAAGCTCAAGGTGAAGAAGGCGATCGAGAAGGGGAACATGGACGGCGCGCGGATCTACGCCGAGAACGCCATCCGCAAGCGCACCGAGCACATGAACTACCTCCGCCTCGCCTCCCGCCTCGACGCCGTCGTCGCGCGCCTCGACACCCAGGCGAAGATGCAGGTCATCGGCAAGTCCATGGCCAACATCGTCAAGTCGCTCGACTCCGCGCTCGCCACGGGGAACCTGCAGAAGATGTCCGAGACCATGGACAACTTCGAGCGCCAGTTCGTCAACATGGAGGTCCAGGCCGAGTTCATGGAGGGCGCCATGGCCGGCTCCACCTCGCTCTCCACGCCCGAGACCGAGGTCAACAGCCTCATGCAGCAAGTCGCCGACGACTACGGCCTTGAGGTCTCCGTTGGGTTGCCGCAGGCCGCCGCTCACGCCATACCAGCTGCCAAGGAGAAGGAGAAGGCTGTTGATGAAGACGACCTCTCCCGCCGCCTGGCTGAGCTTAAGGCCCGCGGCTGAGGGATTTCACTTCAGGTGATAAACATAGCCACCCCTAGCATCATACATGAATACTTACCTTCTGTTGCACTTGTGAAATATTGTTTTAGTTTTTATCAATTTGATGGAGAATGTGAAGGTGGTTATGTGGTGTGTATCTAGTATCTACAAGACCACGCTGTTTCCTTGAGTTATACTCCTACTTTGGCCTTTCTGAATGCAGCTGCGCACCGAAAAATAATGGCTATGCTGCTATGGTTTAAGATTTGTGGAAACATAAGACTAACCATACCTCACATCTTACCTGTCAAATGGCGAGGGTTACTGAGGTGTTGCATATTCATGTCATGCTCCCTGTGCTGAAGACATCGTCATTGCATAACATGGATGCCAATAAAACAATGAGTCATGCTGTTATCACTGACCTAACAATCAGGCCATTCGGCTACCTGGGCTGTGGCTGCGGCTGCTGCTGCCCGCTGTTTCCTTGCTGCTTGCAGCACTGTTGCTGTTGTCTGTGGCGCAGATGCAGCCCAGGCAGCCAAACAGCCTTAATTTCACCAATGGAAATTTCTGTGTATTCCAATATCAAATAGCATCATACATGCGGCAAATCATCTCTTCTGTTGGCTGATTACTTGGGAGGTATGTAGTGTTGTGAATTGTGATAGGACATAAAATGACTTTCAGGATTTTTAACAGCTAACATGCGGTAGTCCTATATTATGACTTACTACGGAATTGATATTTTGATAATGATTTACTCTTCTTGTACTACCTAAAAAGTGAGGAGGATAGCAAATAACAAGGATAATATTATTCTGCTTTAACTTAGGAGCACCCTTAACAGCATGTATGAAGTGAGACCAGTGATCATTGGTGTGCTCAGATGATATCATGATAACACCTATTCATTTTGTGTAAATTGTATTGTTTTACCTGCTGAAACATAAAAGTTGTCTTTTTACTCTTGAATGTTCAGCATGTTTTGGATGTAAAATTATGTTTAAACTCTCTGGGCTAGCTATTAGATTAAAAGGTTTTTGGTGTTTTTATGTTGCCTTCTCAATTGTATATTTGACAGTTAAATCAGTACGCAAGCAGTTTTCTGCACCTTACATGCCAGGAAGCCACTCACAGAATATTGGTAGTACAAAATGTTTATTTAATCCTACTATCAGTTTGTTTATTTAATCCTACTCACAGAATGTTCATTTGTTAATGTAAGTAGCACAAGCTCTTCACCGAATATATAAAGTAACATTTTTCATGATGTATTTTTTATGTTGAGTTCCTCAGTGATGAAATCTCATCTCCATTTATTTGTAATTTGATTACTATTGTTACCCTTGTTTGTGTTGAAAGGGCTGGCTTTCATAACATCCTGCTGTGGTGCCCTTTGTAGTTGTGTCGACCTTCCCTTTATGTGAAACACCACCCCCTTAGTGCTACATCTTGGAGTGACTGCATTTTCTGGTGATTTTACTTCCAAACACCATATAAGGCTCAACCCAACCACACCAAAATATTGGTAATGGCAAAGCTTTTATAGGCTCATTTGGTCTGTTGCAAAAATTCACAATGCCAATACTTTGGGAAGGCTAGACAAAAGGTTAAAGTATCTTTGCCAAAAAAAATTTGGCATCAAACCATCTTACCAAAATTTTGACAAGGAGGTTAACAATGGCTACAAGCCCTAACACTTGGACGAACGTTACTAAAACTTTGTTGCATTTATCAGGACATAGTGAACTTTGTTGCATTTATCGAGACAGTGTGTATAGAGTGACTTGCACGCATACCTTTTCTCTATGCGATGCAGTCTTTCAAGGCCAATTTGTATTTTCATGCAAAATCATAGAAGGGTATACAAATGTCTTCAAACTTTACTGTATCGCATTTTCACATGCTTGCTAACTTAAAGCGTAAATGCACGCCACAAATTTGAGTTCACTAAATGCATTCTTTAATGCATGCATATTACATATTCACTGCACTTTCCATATATGGGAAATGGCCTATGCCTATATGCATTGATTCATTAAACCTTTTTCCCCGTTAACTAACTTCCACCGTATCTCATTTTGCAGATATGATTCTCAAGCTGCTATGAGCCATTGTCACGTCAAAGGCTACTCATATTTGTTAGATTCGTAAATACTGTTATGCTAAAATGCGTGTGTTGATATCCCATATGGGATCTGTGGACTTCATTAAAACCTTGCTGTGTGATACAAATCCATAATATGTGAGCTTGAGAACGTCTCTGTGTCGCTGTATCCTAAGCCTGCCCGTTTGAACAGAAATGTTGAAGTTGTCCATCTTTTCACGGGATGTTTTCCTTGCTTTAATGCCATGAACAAATTCGGTAGCCGCCCCATTATTTGTGAGGAACTTTGCCTTGCCTGATGGCTGCTGGTATCTGCTAACCAGTGTCCTGTGATGGCCTTTGTGCTTTTTCTCTTCACTTTAAAGACTCCAAGTCTCCAACGCAGTTGGTGATCACCTCGTTTTAAATCTGGACTGCATGGGGCTTTGATGATGCATGCTAACCAGGCATCAGGCATGCATGTTGGATTGTTGGGACAGAAAAAACAAGTGCACTAAAACATCACAATCACAATCCTTTTAGCCATGTAACAACTGTTATTAAATCCCAAGGAACGAGGAACATAGGAAAACTACAGAGGAAGCTGTTTGGATGGAGCACATGACAAACACAGGATTTGGAAGAGGTGGACAAAGGAAAAATTCCAGGAGGTTTTGGAGCCCATACTATAAATCCTCTAAAATTCACATGAAACATGCTATTCCATAGGATATAAATCCTCTAAAATTTACAAGCAGCAATTCCATACGAATTTCAAAGAAATTTTAAAGATCTAATCCTCTATTCCAAAGGGTATCATAGGAAATTTTTTCATTGAATTCAAATTCTTTGAAATTCCTCTGTTTTCCCTTTCTTTCAAGGGAATAGAAAACAACGTAGGATTAGCTCCTTTCAAACACAGGATTTGGAAAAAAAAAACTACTAACAGAATATCTTGCTCTGTTGAAACTTAGAGGAATCTAAGACACAAGGGAAAACATGAAGCTATACTTCTTACAAGCTTTCCTCCAAATTTCCCATGAATGAAATGAGTCATTCAATGGGAGTTTCAAAGGATTTTGCGTATGCTTATCCTTTGTTACAGAGGATCAAGTATGATTATTTTCCATAAGATTTTAACACTTTAGATTTCCTCTATTTTTTTTCTTTGTTCCAAAGGAATCCTTAGAATGTCATATGCTACCGAATCCCACAAGAATATGAGAATCATACATAGGAATTTGGTTGATTTCCATAAAAACATATAAATTCGGAAGGATTTCTGAACATTCAACATTATTTTTTCACTAGCTGGCGTAGGATAGAATCTAAATTTTGTGTTCAGGACAACCATGTGTTCCAAACAACATTTCATACAAAATTCATTTGCTTTCTACTTGTAATACTATTAGCATATGTATAGGAATTTGGTGAGCTCAAATCCCTTTTTCAAATGGCATGTATAAAAAAAATTCCAAGGAATTGCAATCCTCTATTTTCTTTTTTCTATGAGAATCTTGTACTTCCAAGTCCAAAGAGACCTCAAGTCACGAACTGGACACTTCTCCTGCTATCCGCAAAAACAGAAAGAAGTTTTTCTTTTTTAACCAAAAAAAAAAAGATTTTGTGCACGGACTAGCTAGCTGGAAAAACAGAACGAAGTTTTTATTTTTCTAAGAAAAATAAAAAAGTGGTGGTCCGTTGGAGTAGGATGCGAGACCCAAGCGGGCCAGCAGTGCGGCGGCCCGTTATCCTTCCACCGTTGGAAGCGGGCAGTATTCGCTGCTCTGTGAAACCAGCCTCACGCCATGCCTGCCACTCTAGGAACCGTGGGGCCCCAGAGCTTTCGCACAAGCCCCGCCGGCCCACTACTCAACTTGGAACGGGCGAGCCATCTGTAGCAATGCCGACCCAGGCCCGCAGCCGTACCGCAACGTCCACACCACCTTAATGCCCCCGCTCGGGTTACAAGCTCGCGCTGCTGAGCTCGGCGACAGCAAGGGGCGCAATCCGGCTATTTATGCTGCGATGTGTGGAGCTAGTTTTCCGAGGTGGGACTAAATGAGGTGGAACGGGAGATCCCCGCGTGCACAGTGGCTTTTTGTGTTTTCTATTTGAAAAGTGCTCTCGGGCCCAATGGCTAGGTTTGGTATGAAAGATGGTGTAGCAACATTCCAGCCCAGTTTATATAGTGAACAGAAGTACCCTCCCTAGCCAGATAAGTCCTCTACGCTGGGAAAATTCGGATGAATCATGCATGGTCCGCATTGATAAAGACCATATTTGGCACATTTTTTTTCCCATTCTCCATCGAAGAAAAAAATTGTTAAACGCAATAGTATGTAAACTGGTTTGTAATTAAACTAACAGATACTGAGAATGAATTCAGAAATAGATCAGTTGTCTCGCGCTAGCTTTGTCTATACACTGTGGATTCTACACAAACAGAAATTTTGTTAGACATTGCGAGGATTGTGCAACCTTTACTGCTTACAGTGTTGATATCTTAGTCTTTACATAGAGCACATCCCCTTTCAGTTTTCTTTTAAAGAAAAGACTTGTTAGCTAGTATTTTATCCTCAAGCTTTGCAGCAAAATCGACCATATATGTTAACCAAATCATACGTGCACCATCTTTGTTCCCATGTAGAATTAAAGTTGTGGTTGTAATTCTGCTCAATCGTTTTGACATAGTCTACTCTCGGGCCTCTCGGCTCCTGTGTCCATATGACTTATTACACTGTAATTAATCAAACATGTGTTCTTGTGCCTCACCAAACATAGATTAATTAGTGAAGACAAAATACGTGTACAAAAACAAACAGAATATATATATACACAAAGATTTGAGAGCGTATGTCGTTGGCGAGCAAGTGGCACAAGGTGACATGACACGCCTGCCTATGCAATGAATAAAGTTTGTCCTTGTCAACTAGAGCTATATAGCATCGTGTACCGCACAAATTACTGTGATGGGCAAATGCCAGGCAGCTGGGTCATGACAAAAGAACACCTCACACCTACTCCATCTCTGAACGATTTCTGCGGCCTAGCCAAGACAGAGGAGAGCACATGGACTGCAGCACATGCCCAAAATCTATTATCAGGAAGAGAGCTGATATTTTTTTTTTAGAGCAACTCATGCAAGCATAGACTTCTAAGCAAACATCCAAATACATTACAGCTCAGTAGCAGGATATGGATTAATTTAGGGACCATAAATATATACAATATTTTTTTAGCTAGTTTAATTTCTAGCTACTAAGACATATCTTGGATGCTTATCCAATCCCTCAATTAGAGATGGTAAATTAAATGCAAGACTAGCAAGCTAGGAGTAGCTAGAGTGATTCATAAGATTAATTCCTCGCAAACACAAGACTAAGACAATGAAGTCACTACCTATGCTGATTGCATTGTGTGGAAGATTTGGTGTGAAAGAAACAAAAGTGCTTTCAGAAATAAAGAAACTCCAATGCAACAGCTAATGGTTAAAATCATAGATAAAATTAATCTAGGTGTGAGGTATATATATATATGTATGGCGCCAAAGATATCGCAAGAATATTATACCTTAGTTCATATCTAGTGCCTATGCAAAGATATAAATGTATTTTTGTTGTTTTTATTCCTTTCTTCTTTGCGCCGTTAGTGAATATGTAAATATACTCAATTCCTATTTAATATAACAGCAGCAAGTCTGGCTTCGTTTTTATTTAAAAAAAATGCTCGCAAAAAGAATAAAAGGAGTAATTAACCTCAAGAAATAAATTGGGGGATGTTAAATTTCACATGCATGTACACACAGCGGGCAGCCAGACTGTACCACAGGTAAATAATCCACGTGATGAACTATGTGGTCTCCAAACAAAGTGGTGAAATACTGTTTAAAAAATGTTGTAAACTGAAGTTAAAACTGAACAAGAGTTCCCTCTAAAAAAAAGAGTTACCTTGAGAGAACCACATGTACCCAATCAGCGCGAGAGCACGCCCACGGCGCCTTCACGGAAAACTGCGCCCATAGATTGGCGATATGTGCAGTTAGTAGAGCTAAGCTAGCATGGGGTAGCCTGAACAAGGCGACAATACCGCGCGGTTTGCAGAGAGGCTTTTTTTTTTTTTTTTTGGAGAAGCAAAAATTGGCAGGAGGATAGGCCGCCGCGGCGCGGCTCTGCTGCCGGTAGATAATGAGGTGAAGAAGAGAGAGAATAAGCCATCCCTCATAGCAGGTACAATAGTATACTATTAGCTAGCTATAAACATATTTTAATAAGATAAAAGATGATAGAGAAGAACAACGGGCTACAGATCTGTAGCCAGCTGCAGCACGGACTCCAAGACACAATATGTATATGACATGTGGGACCATATATTAAAAGTATAATAAGCAACTATTGTATGAATTAGCTATTAGATTGGCTACGGATGAATTGAAGCTAGTAGTATGCTATACTATTAAACTTGCTCTTATACAAGGGGCAAGCTCTACACAATCTCCAAGAAAAGTGAAAAATGATGTGAGAGTAAACTAATATTTTGGTTTGTGTATTAGATGTGATATGTTGTATGCGTTGCCTTTTAATTAATAAGAAGACGATGACATGGTCCAAATTAGATCTGACATCCACCTCCACTATAAAACTTACCCTGAACGTACGTACATGCCCCCACACGCCATCACGGACGCGTGCGCCGACGTACGTCCGATGCGGTGCGAGCGCGGGTGCGTACGTGCTCGATGTCGTGCATGTACCTGCGATAATATCTGTCGGTCTCAACATCGATCACTGATCGATCGACAAGGGTAGCACGTTGTTTGGATATGATGGTAAGATGGTGTCGCGCGGTGGCGGGCGAGAGACTGGATGGTAGACTTGGACAGATCTCTCCACACGCATCTCACGTTGAGAATTTTGATTGTTATTTCTTTGAGGACTGAAAGTTGATTATTGAAAAAGAATATATTGAGTTGAGTGATAGTGTATGGTGTTACATCCATATAGGAAAAGAAATGTTTTGATTTCTTAAGAATATGGGCATGTTCAGATTGTAGCCAATACCAAAATTTTGCTAGGATTTCTTCCATATTTACCAAATTTTTGGCAACAAACTAAACGTATATTATTTTGGCAACTTTATAAAAAAAATGGTATGGTTGAAAATGACATCAATATGAACAAGCCCTATGTCTCCTCGTCCGTTAAATGGTTATGAAAAATTCTTAAAATATGACGACATTCATATATGAGGCGAAGGTTTATGGCGGAGGTAGGCGAGCTAGAGGCGAAGGATGTTCTTTTTTGGTGGAGTGATAGACGATGCCATTATACTCTACAATGACATTTTTTTAAAGAAAATTACAACCATTTTTGGTGGTCGAACAGTACGTATAGTACGTTGGGACTTGGCAGACTTGCTGGCTGTTGAGTACAGAGACCTGTCGGTATGGTCGAACAGTACATCTGCCACATGCATGCATAATGCATTGCACTCCGTTGCGATGCTCGATCGATCGATCGCCGGCTCGTGACTGCTAGCTAGTCTGTGGGCGCTGCGGCGCACGCCGACTGACGCAGCGGGCGACCCATTGTCGATCGGTTCTTGCGAGGTATAGTACTCCATGATAGTACACGTACTGTACTTTCGCCCTGCATCGTCGTGCGCCGGATGCAGTGAAGCATGCGCACAAGAACGGCCGAAGAAACAACACCGACGATCGATGGTGCATGCATCACCATCACCATCGTCAGTTCATCACGCGATACATGCAGATCACCTAGACGTACTAGTAATAGTATCGTCCTATATACGTATTTGTCTTCTGGCTTCCACTAGTAAGAAATGATTTTTTTTCAGATGACCCATAAGGGGTTTTCGCGTGCGACATGGCTGGCTACCCGCACTGCTGCACATACTAAAGGGTCTACGAAAATCGCAATTTTACGTGCATCCGCACACGAAAATCGAATTTTCGAGTGCGGGCGCTTAAGTTTTTCTCACGAAAATGGAAAATCGAAAAAAAAAATTCCAAAACACAAAAACCTAACCCTAACCCTAGCCGGTCGCTGCCACCATCGTCGCCGGTGGATCCGCACCTCCCGTCGTCGCTGCCAGCGGATCCGCGCATGTGGAGGCCGGATCCCGCGCCTGCCGCCGGATACGGGCGGGGGAGAGCTGCCGCTGGCCTTCCGCTCGAGCCCGTCACCAGATGAGCGCGTGGGATGGCAGGGGAGAGCCGCCGCTGGCCTCCCACTCAAGCCCGCCGCCAGATCCGCGCGGGAGGGCCAAGGGAGCCGCCGCCTTCGCCGTTGACCGCGCCACCTGCCGCCCGTCGCATGGCCGCCAAAGGCGGATCTGACCGCCACCGAGCCCTCCGCCGCCGGCCGAGCCCTCCGCCTGCCGTCGTCCGGGCCCACTGCCTACCGCGAGAGGAGAGTGAGAGAGGAGAGCAACGCATAGTGAGATTGTGCGAAGAAGAGGTGAGAAAGTGACAGAGAGGAGATGAGAGGATATGGATGAAAATATTTGAAGTGTTGAGAAGGAAAGATAAGGGAACCTAGGCTTTATGCGGATCCTTAAGAGACCCGTATGCGAAAATCACGGCCCCTTAAGAGGTCCGCCTACAAAAATAGACTTATTTTTTTAGTGCGGACCATTAAGAGGTCCGCATGCGAAAATCGATTTTTGTGTGTGGTCCTTTTAAGGGTCTGCACGCGAAAATAGGAGGATAATTTTTATAAACACGACCAGTTACGGTTCGTCTGCAATCTAAAGAGGTCCTTGTACAGAAAAATAGTTTTTTACTAGATAAATAACCCGTCGCGTTGCTGCGGAAAATTAGGTTGCATAATATGTACAAATAAGATGTAATTTGATTATCAAAACTAAACAATTTTATATAATTTTGAGCCTAAAAATAATTGAGATTGCATGTTTGTAAGAGAGAAGAAAAAAGAGACAATTTGGACCATAGATCTATCATCCAAAGGCTAGAAATAATTGAGGTGATATGGCTTAATAAGAGAAGAGAGAAATAGCATTAACTATACTTAGTGGGGATAACTATATAAGTATATAGGATTCCACCCAAAAACCCAATTAGCATGTTGATCGAGTTGCTACGTCCCAATTGAGTGTGATCATGATGTTCTTTAGGCAAATCATACAAAACCAGTAACTACGTACTCAATCTGTTTTTACAATACAATCATTTTTAGGTTGTTTACTAAAAACATTAAGATTAAGAGAGAGATTCCTTTCCCGTTGTCTCAATGGTGAAATTTTGATTATTAGATATCAATCCGTAAACAACTGAAAAATATATAGATTTTCGTGCATTAAAATCAATATTTGTATAAATTTTAAATTCTAAATTAAAATTCATTTACTTTGGAACAAAAGGAATGGTAGTAAGGGCTTTTACAATGCATATAGATGTCATTCAACATCAACTTGCCACATAAAAGATTTCACGTCATTCAACATCAACTTGCCACATAAAAGATTTCACATCACATCTGCTTCTCCCATTACCAAGTGAAGAATGGAAATCCCAAATGAGACACGAGTTCCTTATTAATATTCATGAGGGATTTTTCAGGGAGGGGGAGAGGAACAGCGAGCGTTGTACGTTGGGAGAAGTGTTGCCCCATGCGATGCCCTCATAACCCGTTGGAGCCAGCGACGATGAGCTGATTCGAGGTGGTGGCGGTCGTCCCGAGTTGCTCCACTCGTGGTTGTCACTGATCGAGGCAAGCCCAATGCCTGATCTAGCGAGCTCGACGAGGCAGCGACGATAGCCTAGTGAGAGACGTGCGCGGGTGAGGAGAAGGGAAGATGGAAATGGTGGACGAAGAGGAGGCGGCGGATCTAGCGTTTAGGACCTCATTGTTGTCCCCATTCCGTACTGTCAAGCTCGTTGTTGCCCCTCGAACCAACCGATGTTATCGTCGTGATCGACCTATGAAGAAGCAGCTCGACGACGACCGCCTCGACCTGTCCGTAGCCGCTCCGTCGGAGCTGCCTTGACCTCCTCGTCGCTTCTTTTCGTCGTCGTGTCAATCTCCTCGATGTTCACCCGGTTCAAGGCGATGGCACTAGGGAGCTCGTTGTTGGAGATGGGGGAGGGACATCAACAGCAATTTTAGGAAAGGAAAAAGCGACTATACCTCCCACTCTCTGCCGCTGAGCTCATAGTAGTCCACCCTTCCCACATCACCGAGCTCGTCGACGCGCCGATTAGAGTAGGAGAGCCACCGAACAGTCGTGGGCCATGGGAGGACGAGATAAGAGCTGAGATGCGGTCACTGCCGTGGGAGGAGTCGAGGAGAGAATCGAGAGAGTGACGGAAGAGGGGAAAGAGGGGATTTTATTTTTTTTCTAGATTCTGGTATTCATTGTTAAATTGTGTACTTCCACACAAATTGAAATAAATATGAGAGCTAGAATAGATAGTAGCAAGGTCTGAAATAAAAAAAACAATGCCATTCCTAGAGCCACTTACATTATAAAAAGAATAATTTTAGACTTATGACCCTAGCTAGACTTCGTGGTACAGACGTACAGTACTCCAAGGCTCAAATGAAGATCCTGCACTGTGAGTGACGGTCACTCACGTTGCCACACACACATGCATAATTTCCGAGCTACTAGCACTCTAGCAGCTGCAAACCCTAGAGTTCACGGGCCACAACGGCGAGCTCGCCACTCTATATAACCACACCGCCATAAACCCTAGATCGATCGCACAAACACTTCTAGCTCCTCTTCTTCTCCCCCCCCCCCCCCCCCCCTTCTCACCACAACCTGCTAGCAAGCTCAGAGCTAGCAGCAGCCATGGCGGGCAGCACCAAGCTGCGGCCATTCCTCCTGACGCTGCTCCTCCTCCTCTCCACCACCGTGGCTTCCATCCTCGCGGAGTACGACCCGGAATGCGACTGCGACAAGCCCAAGCACCCCAAGCCCTCGCACCCTTCTCCCTCTCCCGGCCACCCCAAGGGCCCCAAGAACCCTACCCCTCGCCCCCCCAAGGGCCCCACCTACCCGTCTCCGGTCACCCGCCCGCCGCCGCTCGTCGCCCCTCCCAAGGTCCCCGTCACCCACCCGCCGAAGGGCCCCGTCACCCGTCCGCCGCCGGTCACCTACCCCACACCTCCGGTCACCACCCCCCCGGTCGTCGTCGGCCCGCCGGTCACCTACCCCACACCTCCGGTCACCACCCCTCCGGTCGTCGTCGGCCCTCCGGTCACCTACCCGACGCCGCCGGTGACATACCCGACGCCGCCGGTGACGTACCCGACGCCGCCGACGACGACGCCGTGCCCGCCGCCGCCGCCGGCGACGCAGAGGTGCCCGGTGGACTCGCTGAAGATCGGGGCGTGCGTGGACCTGCTGGGGGGGCTGGTGCACGTGGGGATCGGCGACCCGGTGGTGAACAAGTGCTGCCCGCTGCTGGAGGGGCTCGTGGAGCTGGAGGCCGCCGTGTGCCTCTGCACCACCATCAGGCTCAAGCTCCTCAACATCAACATCTACCTGCCCCTCGCGCTCCAGCTCCTCCTCACCTGCGGCAAGAACCCTCCCCCCGGCTACACCTGCTCCATCTAGTTCAGCCGCCATTCCCCTGCCTCGCCATGGATGGCGCCCAAGCTCAAGCTCTTGTTTGTAAGTGTGTTACTCTCTTCTCCCATCGCAAATAAGCGTCAGAAATAATTTTGCTATGTGTATCTACTTGTGGATTTAGAGGCAGGATTTCTATCCATTATTTAATAAAAAACGTCAGAAATAATTACTCTCTCTCGAAAAAAAACAGATAACTTTTATACGTGAATCTTGAAATGGCAAAGGGTATGTCTAGATTCGTGTGTAAAAGTTTTTTTTTTTGAGAGAGGAGGTATATATGTTGTCTTTGATTTGATACTGATATAGTGTGTTTTTTTGATGGAATATGCAGGTTGGCTACTCGATCTCGGCTTATTGATGTGTTAATGATGAGTACGAGGTGTATTAATTTATTGTTGGTTTTAATTTGTTAGTGTGTGGAAACATGAGAGGATGTCGTCTGCTAGCTAGCTAGAGGAACGGATCAATCTGCTAACGATAGATTGATGTTCGTATTGCTGTGTTTTTTTTTTAATTTGTTTCAATGTTTCAGCTTAATTGCATGCTTCCTCTTCTTGATTGTGTGGTGTGATCAATAAGACAGCAACTGTTCAGAAATTGTTTCCGTCAAGATCGTATCCTATCAAGAAATTAATTAATAATGCCTGCAGCCTGACTTAAGCGTGTAATCCTACATACTTCCATGTGCGGACAGTGCATGCAATCTGATGTAATAATGTGTCGGATCTAAGCATAATATGTCTGAGATTAATTTAATTAACCTGTTTTCTTCAGACAGATTTATTTGTGGTTGATTTTGGCACTGATATTGGGAGAGAACACACGTACTCCCTCCGTCCCATTTTAAACGTAACTATAGATTTCCGTATCTAACTTTAATCGTCGGTCTTATTTGAGAAAATCTAAAATCTTTAAAAAAATTAAAAAAAACATAAGTCACTTATAGAGTACTATTCATGTTTTATCATCTAATAACAACAAAAAATACTAATTATAAAAAAAATTTTAAATAAGATGGACGATCAAAATTGAACTCGAAAACTTACGGTTGTGTTTAAAATGAAACGGACGAGTATCACTCATAGAATAGTTGTCGGAGCTACTCCCTCCGTAAAAAAAACAATCATGAGTTTAAACCTGAACACAATGAGTTGGGTTCAGGTTTAAACTCAAGATTAGGTTGTGTCCAGTTTTAAATTTAAAATTGGGGTTTTTTTTTTCTTTGGAACGGAAGGAGTAGCTAGGAGAGCTAGCTAGCCCTTGGATCGAAAAAATCTCACATGCATGACATTGTGAGCTGTGACATATTACTAGCAAGGAGATCTAGTATAGTCAAGTACGGTCGGATAGCGAGAGAAAACTATACTGTAGAGAATACTTTGACGACTGCATAGGAGCCGGAATGCTCGATCGATATTCTGCATTCTCTGGAGGGTAACCGAGAGGCATGATTGGTGCAAAAGTGAGGGCAAAGCATGTGCAGACTCCGTTGGCAGTATGCCGCCCGTGAGCGAATACTGAGCAGTAACTGAGTTGATGTGATGGACATGTAACCCCGTGTCATTTGTTGTCTTCTGTTTGTAGTAGCTCTGGGCTGTGCATGAAACACGGCAAATGGGCAATGGCCATATGTGATCTTACCTTGGATTTTATACTGAACAGACTTTGAAAAGGCTGCTCGTGAGTGTACTGGCCAATATATAAAGATAGCCAACTGTGTAAATACAAGTGGCTTGAAATATTTTGCAACTAAATTTCCATATAAAATGGTACTTGGTTCTTCTCACATGATCACTAGTACTCACTAGTGTGCTGCTTGCAGAAAGGCAAGGATGGAACTGCACAGTTATGAGTGCAGACATGACACAAGTGACTAATTGAGTTAAATCTATGGATTACTCTCTGTCCCCAAGAGACTCAAATCTTAAGAATGATAGACAAGCATGTGTGTATACATTCATCCTTACTTCTTCCGTCTTAAAAAAAAATAAAAAAAGATAACCTAGGTGGTGGTTTGACACGAGCAACATAGCCTAGATATGTCATTGTTCATGTTGCACAGGAGAAGCATATGTTTTGCCCAGTATGGAACGATTACACCTTCCAATTTCCAAGAGGGCATCTTTGAATAATCTGGTACAGTAGCGCACAAGACACAGAGAAAAGAACTCACTAATCAAGGCTACAAGGATTTCACCAATATGGCCATCGGAGAGCATCTAAAGCTAAAGCTATACACACACCAAAATGATCTTTGCGAACATCAGCGAGTCTCTTCATCTCTTGCTATCTTTCTTTTAATTTATTTACCTGGCGGGGTTTCGATGCGGTCCTTGATGATCTTCTCACCGGATCTGCCTTCTCGCCCTTGCTACTGGTGCTAACTTTGTTTGGTTCAGCAGTCTCACCATCATCTTCACTATAGTCACTACCTGGTTTCTCCTTGCCACCACCATTTTTCCTTGTCTTTCTGGAAAGGGCACCTATGGCATCTCTCTTTTGCTTTCCCCTGGCAACCCTAGAAGTTGCTCCTCGCTTCTTTGTATTCAAATTATCAGCATCTTCTGGATCTGTGTCTATTTCCTTCGCATCATCGTTCTCTGCCACTTGTTCTGGGTTAGCAATGACTACTTTGCTAGATTGCATTCCAGTCAGCTTCTGCAGTTGTGGCACGTATGCTGTAGTCTAAATAGTGAGAGTACAAATCAGAGGGTAGATGCATGAATGTTCGTAGCACTAGAAAGTGTAGTAGTACTGAAGCAGATAAGAGCTTACCCTGCCACCAGCTGTTATGAACTCAATTTTCTGTCCTGCAAGACATTTAAAGTAGTGGGTAATAATTAACATGTTCGATTATACACCATCATATATCAGCAAAACTACAAGCGAACGCTTTGCTCAATTTTATTCAAGACAATAACGAGTTCATGATAAAACTTGAGGACAATCTCACCATTGACTTTACCAGGCTTCTTGCCCCATCGGTGATGGAATAACCATTCCACAGGAAAGCAGTCACAATCAGCATCAACTTCAACAGCATATTTCACAACCTGAAATATGCTTTATTTCAGGCATAAGTTCTCCGTGATTGTACATCAGTAGAATACACTAAAATTATTTAAAATAATGTCAAATTACACAACCTCTTGGATGCTTTGGTGTAGTGCTTCACAACTCTCCCTGGATAGACTTGAAGCAATCTGTAATGGATGGGTTCTCGACTGAAAAAACAACATGAATTCATAATTAAAATTTATGCATTTCATTCAAGCTCTAATAATATTTGTATTAATACCTGGTAAAGCACCTCATCTGCAATCCAATTACCAATTCCTGATATGAAGCTCTGTTCAATAAAAAAAAAATCAAGTCTTCTGTTTGTATAGGAGATACAAGGACCTAATCCCGTATATTGTAGAAACAATTTTGTGGAGCTAAAAACTCATATTGGTTTTATGGTAATAAAATCACCTGATCGAGTAGAAGAGCTTTTATTCCAATCTTCTTTCTGCTCAGCGAGTCCGCAAAACTGTCAGAAGACATCGGCTCAAAGAGAGCATCTGGTCCTAACTCAGAAATCGGGGGTACAGTTTCGGGCTGCAAATCGTTATTTGATTAGGGACATCATTAGAAAATAACATGAAAGGAAGACTCTGAAGATTTAGATTCAACTAGTCAAAGCACATACATCTTCAAACAACCGAACTCTTGCAAACCGCCTCTTATCAGTGAAGGAAAACTCTAAGCCATCATCAAGCTGGAACAAGTTAAATGCATTAGAAACAACCAACATTAAAAGAGCCAACCTATGATATCATAAAAGGACATAAACAATAAGAGGAGATCAAATTTTGACTAAACAACAATGCCTAGGCATGCATTGCGTGTTCTATTACTATTCAATAAACCTTATATAGCAGAAGTAATATTGACGTGTTTATATGATAGCATGTTAACCCTGAGACATGGCACGTCTTCCTTTCTGGCTTTCTGGAGATCACAAAAGCACTACTGTTTGTGGCGATTTGTTCTTCCGCATTTTGGATTAGCTAGTCCGCTAGAGGCTCAGCCAAAACATGTTTTCTGAGCTATATAGCCTAACAAATCGATCTTGTGTCCAAGCTAAACGATGACAGTTACTACCTATCCATCTCTCTCTTTATAAGACCCAACCAAAGTAGTACAGTACAGTACTGATGAACAACAATTCCATATCCCCTTTTGCTTATAAACTGTTAATTTTGATCTCACATAGCAGCAATGTACTGAAAAAAGATGCTGTGACAGCTAGGAGATCTTACTTGAACAAAAAATTTGGAGTACTTGGAGGGCCACTCGTCTGTAGAACTGACAACTGATCTGCAATAATTTTCTGAATCAGCATGTAGTCCATTACTGTATAACAAATTCCCCAGCATACAAATTACACATGCCTCTTGTACTTGGTCACAGGAACTCCCTTAATGTAGATCGCACCTGCCATCCCTGCAACACACACAGCAATTTGTCACTCCAATTTACTAGTAGCAAAAAGCAATCGATCGAACTGCAGGAGGAGGAGGCAGGTACTGACCGAACTGGAAGGAGGGGAATGGAGGGGCGTCGAGGCGGAGCCAGAGGTTCTTGCCCCTCCGCCGCGCGGCGACGATGGTCCGGCCGACCATGGCGCGCTCGAACGCCACGCGCCCCCCGGCGGCGGCGACCACCACCTTGGGGTCATCCGCCACCGCGCAGCGCGCGATCCTCCTCCCCACGCAGTGCGCCTCCAGCGCCCTCCTCGCCGCCTCCACCTCCGGCAGCTCCGGCATCCCCTCCCCCTCCCCCTCCCCCAAACCCCAAACCAAACCTACCTCCTCCCCTGCCCCCTCAAGTTCACCACCACTACCATTGATTTGTGCAGTAAGTCTATTTGGCCTCCCTCAACTCTTGCTATATATTGAATCTTTGACCCTTAACTATAATACCAGGTATAAGGCCTCTCCATTTTCAAAAACCGGAGTAAATAAAAGTACCTCAGCTATTTTGATAGCGGTTTCATCCTACGTGACGCTCATAGGACTCACATATTAGCCAGGAAAAAGATAAAAATATCAGCTCACATGCCAATCATCCTAATCTCATCTCTTTTTTTCTCACCTATTTCTCCTCTCCCTCTCTCTCACCTGTTCTCTGCTATTATGGTTGAGGGATGCAATTCAATCAACAGCAAGAGTTAAGGGAGGTCAAAAAACTTATCCCCTTTGCTGAGCCGCGTGTACTAGGCTGAGCCGCTCGCGTGGCCCAACCCAAGCGGCAGCAGAAGCAGCGCCCGCCGCAGTGTTGTGGCCTTTTTTTTGTTTTTGCCTCGTTTCGTTTCGTCCCGTTCGCGTACGTGAGCGCACGTAAATTTCGCGCGGCCCAAGCGGAAGAGGCGCCGCGCGCGCGCACGGTGTAGTTCGCCTCCGCGTGGCCGCCGCTGGGATTTTGCCCGCGCGCGGGCCGGTGCGCGCGATGGAAATCGCGGAGATTCACGGGCCTCGTCTGGTTCTCTCGCGTACCACCTGGCTTCTTGGCTGCACTGCACGCACCCACCGCGTGTGTCGTCGTCGGGTCCAACAACGGTAGCGCGTTCGGGGAGAGCAGTAGAGAGAGAGAGAGATGGATTGGGTTGGCAGTGGTAGGGGGCGCGGCGGCTGGGTCGCTGAGACGGCAATATGATACGGGACGGAGACGTGCAGCCAAGCGAAGGCTGGTCATAAATGGGCGTCGGCGTTGCGATTAGCGCGAGACGTCGTCGAGTCGGTCGGCTGAGGCTCGGGTTGGGTGGGGTGTGGGGTGTGGACGACTCACATCACAGGTCGGCCATTTATGAACCCCCACGGCCCGTACCCTATTCGATTCGACTATTCAAAAATGATATCCTCAAATCAGAATAATACTACTAACGCTGAACAAACACGTGTGGCGACGTGTATTAAATACGTGTGTCTAATTGCATTATGTTGGGTTCTTATGGGCCTGTTTAATTGGTGAAATAAAAATTTTTGGTTGTCATATAGGACGTTTGACCAGATGTCGGAAGGGGTTTTCGGACACGAATGAAAAAACTAATTTCATTACTCGCCTGGAAACAACGAGACGAATCTTTTGAGCCTAATCATGTCGTCATTAGCACATGTGGGTTACTGTAGCACTTATGGTTAATCATGGACTAATTAGGCTCAAAAGATTTATCTCGCGATTTACATGCAAACTGTACAATTAGTTTTTCTTCTTATCTATATTTAATGCTCCACACATGTGTCCAAAGATTCGATGTGATGTTTTTGCGACAATTTTTAGAAATTAAACAGGGCCTATGTTCACAACTTCTCCTTCCTTGTTTATCCGCACGTATACTTTCCAAACTTCTATGAACAATTTATTTTTTAAGAAAATTCTATAAAAAATTGTTTATAAAAAATCATATTAGTTTTTTTAAAAATAACTAATATATTGAATTAATAATGCGTTAATGTATACTTCATTTTGCGTGTCGGAGAGAACCCCTCCAAAACACCCTAAATGTTTGATGATGGGAGTATGACGTACATTAAATATGCGTGTCTAGTTGTATACACTCTTTTTAAAGGCAATATAAATACAGACGCTATAACACGTACTCCTTGAACGCACATACTCATATCTTATGAACACCTTCAGAAGAGACTGAGCCGGCATATCTTAAAATTAACGAGGTCATTATATGTGTCTCGCTATTTACGTATACGTCGTCTATCACTTAAAAAGAATAACCGTAAATATATGAGTACCCATGTAAAATCTAGAAACTAAATTCGAGTGGGCTAGTTCCGTTATAAGGAATCTAACAGTTAAGGGCCAACAGTTAAACCATGTATACACTCTTTAATACGCAGAGGCCGCCTGATAGCATTGATTGTCATCACGCCATGGACGTCTTAACGGGATTAGTTTTTGATGGAGGAATGGCAATCAACACATGTATACTTTTGTTGCCTTATCTCTCTCTCTCTTCTTAATTTGTTGCATCTTACAACGAACGAATAAGCAACAGTTGCTTCTTGTATGTACAAGTTTCGACATCATAACAATCAATAAATCCTTGTCATTAACCGGACGACACGGTAATATCTCACACTTGATGACCGACTCCTGCAAGCTAAACAAACTTAAAAATTTTAAAAAAAAACCTCACAAAAACAAAACCACTCAAATCAATTAATTCGATCGTCTACCGCTGTATATATATGCTTCTTGTGTACTCTGCTGTATCGAATTATCATTTGGTTCATCGATCCATGGAGAGAAATGTTTTCTTGTGTGTTCGATCGCTAGCTTAGCTATGGCGCCGGGCAGCCCATCTCGTCGCGTGCCTGGATGAAGACGATGGCGGCGGCGTAGTGCGCGAGCGCGCCGGCGATGACGAGCGCGTGGAAGATCTGGTGGCTGTGGCCGCACAGGTCGAACATGCCGGGGCGCCACCGCTCCGGGACGCGGGTGAGGTAGAACGCGGTGCCGGCGAGGTAGGACGCCGCCATGGCGCCCTCGTACGCCAGCGTCACGTTCCGGCGGGGCTCGTGCCAGTTGACGGCGACGGCGTGGGCGGCGGGGACGACGCCGGAGAGGCCCATGGCGACGAACAGCAGCGCGCGGTGGGCGCGGTACCTCGCCGCGCTCAGCCTGGGCGACATGAGCGCGTACACGGTGGCCACCCCGGCGGCGGTGATCGCCGACAGGTACACCACCTGCCACCGCGGCTCGCACTGGAAGATGTAGTAGATGGGCGGGAAGAAGGAGACGACGATCATGACGGCGATGCCGGTGTAGTCGAGGCGGATGAGGAACAGGTTGAGGCGGTGCGAGTGGCACGACAGGAGGTGGCACGCCGCGCTGCTCAGCAGGCAGAACATGGCGCCCGCGAGGAACACGAAGAACGGCCACCGCGTCGTCGCCGCCGCCGCCGCCGTCACCGGCCACGCCGCCGCCATGGCGCCGGCGCTCGACGCCGGGCTCGCCTGCATGAACGACGCCGCGCCCTGGCCAATGCATGGACACACACGCCAAACTCGATCAAACCATTGACGTGACAGGACAGCTGATCGGACACCGATCATCATTGTAGCATATCACATCGAAGTATAATATGTCATTAAACATCTGAAAGCAATATACTCTCCAAATTAAAGCATATGCATTAGAATTTAGAAGACTGGGAACACCGAATTATTGCGACGACATTCGTTTCAACGCTTGAATAGAACATCTAACCATATTGGTGTCCGAACTCCGAACAAATTCATCTTCCTTATCTAAGAATTTCTATTTGGTTACCAAACACTGTTCTTTGGTCAAGAACAGTTGGGAAGCCATGACAAGCAATGAATTTAGCTAGCAAGTAATTAATTATGCAAAAAAATGAAGGTTTACTATGGTTGCCCAAAATTGTCTACCAACTAGTCTCAATCACAAAAAGAGAGGACAACTGTTACCATGTGAGGATGGAAGAAGGTTTGGTATGAAAACACAAAGGGAAGGATCACACGCGATAAACTGCTACCACGTTCATGCAAATATCGCCTTGTATATGTGTCCCCAATGTTTGCCAATTTTAGTGACCCCTAACCTCTTAACCTCCCAAAATCTTCCCCTCAAGTCTCAAAATCTTCCCTTTGGTGGTTGCATGATGTATCTTGTCAATCTAGACATCCAAGGCACAAGGATTTCAAGAAGAAAAGATAACCCGCGGCGACACTGGAGTCGTGTCGTAGCGGGTAGACTTGATCATCACAATCACCAAGTCACAACCAAGTCCTATGAACACATCACCAAAGCTTAACATCTTGTGGTGAAGTGAAGTGGCCAACACTTAATCTAGGATTTGTCATGAATGGGCACCAGTAAAAGGGGACCTAATTGGGCAAGGTTCATCAGGTAAAGGTGAAAGCAATCAGAAGCCCCACCCAACACTTTGGCCCAGCTGCCATCCAAAAAGTCCAAATCATGCACATCTGAACAAACAGAAGGAAACAGGACAGTACTGAAAAGTGGAGCCACTCAAAGCTGCACAATGAATCTCCTAAGCATGTGGATCTAACCAGCCCAATAATATTACTGCAATCCAGTATTTTTTTTTCTTATCAGTAACTTCTACTTCTATCACAGGAATGAATGATTTCAGGAAATAGAAGCTTTACTCACAGAGAGGACATCTCCAATGTTACTGGAGACATTTTCAGCAACCTTTGAGATTGGCCTGCAGTCAAATAGAAGTACAATTCTCAGAAAAAAAAAAAGGGACAGACAGTGAACAGAATATTAAGCATGCAAAGCACATAGACATCTGAAATAAAAACTGCAACTTGTCATTTTCCAGGTTGTATGGAATTGGAGTGAATTTGTTGGTGAGATTTAATTTGTCGATACACAAGCAGCTAGATTTATCGAAACTCTCATGCTATCACTCAGCATAATTTGATTAACAAGAAACAAGTAGGATGTAGAATCCTATTCAGTGCCTTAAAACGTTAAAATATTCATCTCACAGCTACTGAAAAACTAAACTATTTCGTGCTACTAATTCCAGGACACATTAGCCAAGATTTTAACCAAACAAATTCCACTGAGGCTTTCACAAACTCACCAGGAGAGGTGTCCGATGAGATCAGCAACCTGGGGGAAGTACTGGCCAAGATGCAGGACGGTGAGGCCGAAGAACAGCACGAACCCAAGAAGATGCCTGAACAAACACCAAGAACGCCCACACGATGAGCAGCAAGAACACAGCACACAAAGCTGAACCAGAATCAAATTCAGAAAAATTCAGGTTGAAATCCATACGTCCAGATGTTGATGGTCTCGTTGTGCCAGGAGAAGAGGCTGAGGAGGGCATTGAGGATGGGCCACTCGGAGCGGTAGTAGTCGAGGATGAACTCGTTCTCCTTCATGTAGTCCGGCAGCTCGTGGTAGCTCACCAGCCTGCACTCCTTCCTCTTCTCCTCCCTCTTCTGCTGCTTCCTCTTCTTCTTGCTCCCTCCTCCCTTCGCCGGCGCCGGCGCCGCCGCCGGAGCAAGCTCATCATGGTAGGCGCTCTCCATGGTGGCCATGGCTGCCTCCTCTCCCATAACTTCTTGGCCTCTTCAGGGGAAAGGTTTGTGCAGTGCTTGGCTGGCTAGCTGTGGCACGGGGTTAAAAAGGGAAAGAGCCTAGGACACAGGAGATGGAGCAGCTTTCGCAAACAAGCCAAGAAAATGGTAGCTAGAGTGCAGTGCTATCCAAGTCAGTTTCTTTAATTTTCTTCTCAATGCAGCATGCAATATCAGCAAATAATGCCAATAAATTTGATGCTACAGCAATGAAATACTGAAATGGATTTTTTTTTTGTAGAAATGGATATTGATGAGATGATGAGATTTGTAGGTGCAAATGGCGTGAGATTGCGTGTATTTTGGGTGAGATTATACGCTGCGAGAACAATGGAGAGGGGGGGTTTTATTTGGTATGAGGTGGAAGAGGACAAATACAGGTAGAGTAGGAGGACAACCACATCAATACTGTTGCTAACAGGGCTTGGAAAAAGATACTACTACTACAGTGATGTATTTTTCTTCTATAAAAGTCCATGTCAAATACCAGTGAAATATTGATTAAATGCCTTTGGACACCTAACTCAAGAATTTCGATGTGTCTGCATTATTGCTCAGCATCAATATTGTTGAAATCATTTTTTATATAGCCTGAGGGTATTGGTTTATAGTTAACACTCTTAATAGTGGTATGTCATCTTTTACACAGTTTGACAGCAGTGGTGGATGCCATAATGGCGTAGCCAACAATAGGTTCAATGTAAAATATGTAGTATATACGATGATAACAGAGAAGAGGAGAAAAGAGATGGTGCGGCAGTGCATAAAAAGGGAGCATAACTAGGTGTCAAAAAAAGTCTAGCAAGTTCATTATCACTTTCACCACACAACATATTTACGCTTACATGCATGTATGACTATGTGCATCTACGATGTAGAGAGAATAAAGATATAAAACCTTTTCATTACAAAAATATGCCCCCCCCCTAACATTATATTTGACGCTACACACAAACTTATGTCGATATTATATGACGTCAAATATTAATGATAGGAGGCGGTATATTTTCTTTCACCAAATAGTATAGCAAGCTCATTATCACTTTAACCACACCACGTATTTGCACTTACATGAATATATAATTGTGTACATTCACGGTGTAAAGAGACCAAGGATATAACACTCTCATTATAAAAGTATATTTACGCTCCCTTCCGTTGTTATATCCTTCCTCCATCTCATATAAAACCAATGGACATACTAAAATGTGTCAATATTAGTACTATAGGTTGGTTTCTTTGGGACGGAGGGAGTAGTAGAGGGTTTTTTTTTTCTTCAAATTGACAGCATAAAGAAAGTGCTTTGAAATAGAATTAGGTAGCTGTTGTTTGCTCCGGGTCCATTTCTGAAGTTTTGACCCGTCTATGTTGTAGGTGTCAGCTGGCCATCCATCCCTCCGTCTTCCCACCTGTCACAATAAATTCTTCAGCAATGGGCACTCTCGCAGTCCAGCAAGAAGCTGCAGGTTAATTTTCTCTCTGTGGCGTGCAGGCAACCGTTGAAAATTGAGGCTCTGATTGCTTCATTAGAGATAATGAAAGCTTTCTGAATTCAACTTCAGGGAGGTTCAGATTCAGATTAGTTGGGAAGCTCACAACCAACCTGAGCTAACCCAATCTTGTACTGTACTCGTACTGGTATAGAATGGCTGAGTTTCAGACTTTCAGTCTGCAGTCCGAGAGAGATGACTTGTCTGATTGGCCGATTCGTCGTAGTACTTCACCGTTTTTTGCGCCTTATGAGGAAACGTGCAGGTTTGCATGGAATGATTGGTGAGTTAGCCATGAATGTGGCACTGAACAGGAGGGGTTACCAAAGCTGACGCAAGAGAATTGCTCTCGTTTTATTTTCTTAAATATATTTTTCAGTCGGTGTAGTTCGCTGGCTTTGGTTTGCAAGCACATCTCTTCTTCTTCTAGCCCATCTTGCCTAGTTGCATACTTGAATGATTTGCGTTATAGCTTCAAAATATTCCTTGAACGCAAATTTTGCTATAAGACATCTAAAGTTTGTATAATTTGTTGATAGATATAGTAAAACATGTGCCACGGCTGAAGAATATTCCTAAATTTGGTAGTTCGCAACATTTTTGATCCAAATGAAGAGAGATTCATAAAACAGATGAGAATGCCCCCGCAGCAACAAGCTTCCATGGTGTTGGAAGATAATTTGGAAATTATGCAACCATAAATCTTCCATCAAACCGAAGTATGTTCCATCATCACTCCAGCGTCAGCTGAAGTATATTCCATCATTGCTCCAACGTCAAGTTAGAAACTTTTGGCTCTAAGGGCTTTATCATCTTTTTGAAATTTTTGTCTCTTCAATTCGGTTGAAAGTATCCCCTAACAAATTACCAGCTTTTCGGAGTGTCCTCTAACCTTGACATTTTTTTACGATGTCCACCAAACAATTACACAAATTCTGAGTGTCTTGTGGCAAAATTTGTCTTCCTAAAAAACAATTATTCTCTCTTATAATAAATATTTTATGTTTAGGGGCAATATTTTTTTATATTTCTAACAATTATAATAGTCTTTTTCAAGGAAAATCTAAGTATACCAATTTTTTTTAAAAAAGCACAAGCATTTAAAATTTTTATGGAATTTTTTAACTGGAAGGAGTATTTCTTCTAAATGTTGTGTAAATGTCAGCTAGTTGATATGAAGGTGTCAGCAAAAACATAGCAGTTATTTTGAAACTATAAGTTCTCCATGTATTAATTGGACAGAAATCTGCAGTCTGACCAGAAAAGAAAAAGGCAATTGGGGCAACCCCCATTTTAATTTTTTGAAGTCTGACCTCTCGCCGACCGAACAGGAACCTTTTTCGCAGATTTAAATTAAATTAGCCATTACGCAAAAAAGATGCGACATTACGCAAAAAAGATGTGACTTTGACTAGATATTGTTCAAGATGAGCAGACGTATCACAATCCCCTGAGAGCAAGTATAATAGTAGGCTACAAGCCGGCTAAATGCTGAGGTGGAGGAGAGAAGAGAGGAGAGCGGGCTGTAAACTTACAGCCGACTTGACACAAGAACCAAGAAACTCTGTGAGAGAGATAAGTTTGCCCTGTATTAACTGTAAAGAGCTAACTATTATATGGGTAAGCTAAGAGAAGACTACACAGAACCTTATAGCTAACAGGTCGACTGTATTACTAGCCTTTCTGATAAGCTGATACGGATGGCCAACCATAAACCGATAACCAATACCCAAAACCAATCGCCCCAACTGTCCTAAAGTTTTCTGGCAACAAGTATAAGTTAGCATCAACAATAACAAACTCTTCTTTTAGCAAAATCAAAACAAAATTAAGAGCATTAAAAATTGGTTAGTTCACATAAAGATCAAATCTTCAATTAATTGGTTAGTTCACATAAAGATCAAATCTTCAATCTTCGCCTTTTGGCTTATCAACTGTGGCTAAAATTTAATTTTATAGTTGATTTTAAGGGTTTTTATTATAATTTATTTTAGCACAAATATAAAAGTTTTACTCATAAATTATTCTTTAATTACTGATAAGCATTTTACGGTTTATCAGTTGTATGCGAAACGATCAGACTTTAAACTAAAGATGGAAGATAGTGTGAAAAGAAGTTGAAGAAAACATGGCTTAATTGTTGCAGCTACTACACCAAACTACAGCTGCGTTGAGTACAACTCACATTGACCAATGATATTAATCAGGATAAATATAGGCATTTTATACGAAGTCGGAGTTGGCATCTGCGTTATAGTTGCCACAATAACTACATAACCACCAGCAACATATGGACATGGAAATCAATGCTATAAACACAAGACACGCTGTTTCTCAGTAAAAAAGAAGTTAGAAACTGTTATGGCAGATAAACATCAACTAGATGGTAGTACTAATCTTTGCCCATCCAAGGACAAACAACAAAAATGCATTGATCTCAACAAAACTTTGGATATATAGAATGAACCATCGTGTCAAACAATACTTACACGAAAGCTAGGCAGCCCTCCTGGAGTAAACATAGTAAAGAAGGGCTGCCAGGGCCATATGGTCCACCCAGCAGTAAACACACAACATAAGCTTCCACTTCAAAAAAAGGGAAATTGCAAGCTTGGCCAAGAATTGTAGTGATTTTGGAAGCTTTTCTTGCTGAATTAATGCTTCCTTAACATGTTTTTCATTATCAACATTGTAACCAATTTCTTTTGTCCGTATTCCTGGATGGAATCGATTTTTACTCCAAAATTGCCACATACCAAAATCTCAATGGGATGAGATTTCGGAATGCTATTCACAGCTCAAGGACCACACACATAAACTACATGACTTACATGGCAAAATCGGCATCTCCATCAAGTATGGAAATGCTAGTGTTTGTTTGCTGTCTTTGTATCGTCCACTGGTTTTCTTCATATATTAATGATAAACAGATGGGGGCTTGGTGTCACTGTGCCCGTATATCCAGTTGTTTCAGAGCAGACCTCATGTCATCAGTGCCATAACCCTCAATTCCAATGATGTTTGGGCTATCAAGTGCAACAACATCTTGTAAAGGATACCGCCTAACAGAATGGATTCTATTTGCAGATGTGTTGAATTCACCCTTAAGGATGACCGTCTTATGAAGACCTCCAAACAATTCTTCGTAATCTGAATCACCAGTTTCACCAACAAGAACCACCACATTTTGCAACTCTATGCCCCAGCGAACAGATAAGTACCTAGAACAGAATTTTGTCAACATGGAGAGCACACATATATGCTGCTAGGCTAGGTGCAAATGGGAATTGAATATAAAAAACTATTTAACAAGCCCATGAGCAAAAAGTTACTACTGTTGCTTGCTAATTTGGTCTAACAGCATCTCATACACATTCCTTTTTCCTAAAAGATACTCCCTCCGTCCCAAAATATAAGGTACTTTGCTTAGATGGAACATATCCTAGTAATATGAATATAGACAGACTAGAATGTGTCCCATCCAGTCAAAATACCTTATATTTTGGGAAGGAGGGAGTAGGAAGCCATGGAAACTTGAATTTCAGTGGTCTGTAAAATTGGAGTTCTCAAACAAAGACTTGGAATATAGTCTTTCCTCACCCAAGAGGCCAAGAAATATACCTAATCTTCTATGGAAAAGTATTGATCGTAACCCACACAAAAAAGATCAGACAGGCAAAACTGCCCCACATTTTGAGCCAAGTTCAGAAAAAATGTTAACCACAACAATACTGGTACATCAGAACATGTTAAGAACAGAAGAGATAAATGAATGAGGAAAATAAGAAAATCAAACAAACCTTAGAGCCTTAGACCGTGATGCGTGGATTGGAATTACAGATAGTCTGGTAGCACCATGGTTATACAGAGCGTGACAACGGAGTGACTGAATTCTCATCAACTTTTGCAGCTCCTTTAAAGGAGGTAACTACAATTCATAAACAAACAACAATTAAGAAAAACCTTGCATCTAACAAGCTATAAAACAATATACCTAAACCCTTTTTAGAAAAGGATGCACTTGAGCAGTTCATAGAATATATAAAGAAATACAATTCCAACCAAATATCATGAACTCTGGAAGGAAAAGGCTTACATGATTTGGATTGACCACTTTAAATGCAAGACAGTATGTTGAAGAGTGCTCTGGATCTTCGAAGATAACTTGTTTTTCAATCCTCCCTCTTCTTTCTACCACGGAAGAAGCCCACTTCACTAGATATTTCCTTAAACCTTCTCCTCCCCAATGATACTCTATATGTGATTGGTAACTACGATCTAATGCAAATGTAACACGGGAGTTGCTTGGTGTATCACCAGTACATGAAGGATAATACAAATCACTTCCACTATTGCATATGAAAGCATCGAAATCAGTAGGAAGCATGCCAGCAGACATTAATAGAGAATGTATCTCCCCTATTGTCAGGGAAGTTGACAACACAAAACCTGTCGATCCTGACAAATTTTCTTTACGTGCAGCCTCGATAGAATTTCTGACAATGCGAATCAGATCTTCCTTACTGACAGAATCTACAGCAATAACAGTGACATGCTTCCTTCCCTTAATAGGTGCCTTAATCCGGTCTTCATTGCTTGCAAAAGCAGGATGCCTTGGGCCAAGAGTTGATATCCTTGACAAGTAATTCTTGCAATGTTCAGGCCAAGAAAACTGATGTATATTTTTCAGCCCATTCTCTCGGCATTTTGACCAAAGTTGTTTTTCAGAAAGGAGTTTATAGAGTGCATCTGCAATTGCATGCTGATCATGGGGATCAACAAGGAGACCATTGTCCAGCACCTGCATACATCCATGGAAAAGACATGGTGATCTTCATCCCAGCTAGTAGTTGATAATACTTTCCTAGGTAAAAAATATCTAAGTTTAACAAAGGCACAATAAATATGCTCAGATACCTGGTGAATTTCAACAGGAGCTCCATTTTTTGTTGCAATTACAGGCAAACCATGCATGGCAGCCTGCTCACGAAAATAGCAGATTGGTGTTAATTAGATACAAAATTCAGTAATGGAAGCAAGCTGAATTTAGATACAATGATAATGACCTCTATCAAGGTGACACCGAACTGTTCAAAGTAAGGCACATTTACAAAAGCACCCTGCAGATGTTCAATGGATGATCAGCGTCAATATAACCGGTACAGGAAATTGCTAAAGAAGTACTGTAAATCCTACAAACATTACAAATCTTTGCTATAAGATTTTGACTTCAAAGAAACAGATACTGAATCCTTCAGCCATTTGAACAACTTAATTTATTGGTCACAAGTTTTCTACTTCAAGTGCTAGACATTCAAAGCAAAGATAAGAATGCCATCACCAATGAATATCTTTTGTTCAGACATAACACACCTTTGTTCTCACTGCTAAACGGTAAATATCAGGAACTTCCGAGTGTTTGTGACGCTTTGGGTATGCCACTTGACCATACAAATCATATTCATCAATCAATGTAAGTACTGATGTCAAAACAGCTGCACTCATATTATGCATCTTGGAAATAGCCTCACGGTTTCCCATTATCAATGTCTGCAACGCAACATCATAAGTTAGTACTAATTAAATATAAGGACGTTTCAGATTAATAGCAGCAATCAAACTTAATGCATAATAAGTATGATATTGAAATTAAGACATCAAAATGCAGTTTTGTCTTACTAGATTAGCAAGCTCCCTCAGTGGTCGGCACTCACCAAACGCCTTCACAAGAGTAGTAATATTCTTTTCAGGATAAGGGCGAGCAACTGCCAGAATCATAGGTTTCCTAGGGTTTGTAAAGAACCGCATTATCTGCCACCCATACAAATTATTAGTGCATAAAGTTAAAACTGCAGGATAAACATGAATAAGCAAATAAATGTTCTCAAATATTAAATGTGCAAACTACTAAGTTTTATTCTAAAGAAAATATTAGGTGAACTAGTAGGTGGGATCTTGCATGTATGAATCTAAAAAAGAAAAGAAAAAATGACCTCGGACCAAATAGATGGATCTTCAGAGGCTGGGGATGGACCGTCTTCCTCACCATCCATATCGAAGTCATGAATCATATGGCCAAATTCAACACCTGGGGGAATGATCTGCAGAACAAGGAACAGGGAACTAATGCACATTAAACCTCTACAGCAGATTATAACAGCAAATTACCCAATTATGAAAATAATTGTGCAGTAGTTACCATTGACTATTTTCGGAGTGAAAAAAGAAAAGATTATGATGCATAAGTATACTCACAACCATACGAGGCATATAGCGACCATAGCAGTTAGCACCACGCTTGACTCTTGCACGGAGTTTCCTTGCAAGTATGACCTCAAAACCGTCATACAAATTCCATTGCTCTTCTATCTCTTGCCTAGTGCTTGCTATAACTATTTCAGATGCATCAAGAGCCAACTCCTCTGCCTCAATTCTACACATTATTTTGTATGTCATGTTTATTTGCTCCCTTGTCTGTCTCCCTTGCTTGAGAAGCTCTTCCAACTTATCTTTCCCAAGAAAATGCCCTGTAAAGACCATGGGAACATTAAGTGCTCCTGACAGTAGAGCAGCAGCAACTCCTGCACTAGCATAATGACCATGAATCACAGCAGGCCACGCCGGATGCCCACAGCTGATTTCTTCACCTATGGCCCTTGACATCTTCACTATATGACTGAGGGCGCCATCAACAAATTCTTGAATGAAAGGCCAGAGATGTTCCTTAGCTAGATATTTGTCTTTTGGTCCAAATGGTATTCGGATGATATATGCACCACTATTCTCTCCTCTTTCCTGCTTAAAATTCTTGAAGCTTGTTGATGCCAAAGGTTCCACTGGTTCACCATAGCTACGATCAAAATTTGGCGCTAAGATCTGTCTTGTAAAAAGATCAACCCGGTAAACTCCAGGACATGAGCTCAATGCTTTAGCAAGTTCCACAACATACTTGACCTATGCAATGACACAACAGATGCATAAAGAATTATTTCCATACAGATTCTTCGTGTTGGTGGACCTTATGTAAGACAGAATAAAGATAATAGCTAACAACCACTTGACTACAGGATAAAGCTAGATTGTATAGCTGTTCAAGTTGGATAACGGAATGCATATCTCATATAAGCACATGCAACAAACAATACCTGTCCGCCAGTATCTGAATCACGGCCAAGCTCCATGTTCTCACCACGGACCAGGCCATGAAGGCTGCAGTATTAATACATCATAAAGGAATTATAAGGCCAATACATGTGAACATACATACCAACAAACCTGCAAATTTCATCATATATCAAAGTGCAAAATAGGAGAAAGAGGTATTATCACTAATTCTGAGTCTAAGGGATTGATTATCAGTTGTACACTAAATTTGCAATGTTGATTTCCTCTAGGTCATTTTTTAGCTATGTCATGTTTGCATTTTATGTAAATAGCAGCTCAGTGCATATGAATTGATTGCAAACAGGGTTTTACGTGTACCAAGAACCTACACTGCACATTGACTTAAAAGGATACAATATGATGATATTAAAGAAACTACTGTGTACCTGATCAACACTATGTACAGCTTGTCAACTGAACTGATCCTAGGTGTGTTCCCAGTTGTGCTGTCACCATAGGCAACAGAAGGATCACCAGCATCCTCTCCCTTCTCACCTTCAAAGAGATCTTCCGACATATCTGAAGTAGTCTCAACCCGTGGCCTCTCTGTCTCTAGACGGCGTTTCAACAAGCGATTGGCTTCCTCCTTCTCCAACTGAGCATGAAAATAATTCAGAAATAAACAAATGCACAAAAACGGAAGAGGTACAAAACTTAGGAACTGAAATTGGAAAGGGAAACTTTGCTTTTTGAGGACCAACATGGATTACATATTAGAAGTGAAAGAAACATCAGCGCTCAGTGCAAATATTCCTATATAAAATGTAATATATCTAATGTACCTCAAAGGTGTCAAAAGGTGAAAGTTTTGGGAATAAATGTAAAAATCTGACAACTTGAGATGGCACAATTAAAAATGGCAATTTTATTTTCTTTAAATGATGGAACAATTCAAACCTCAGGACAATGCATCAATCAACTGATTAGTACAAGAAATAGGTGGTGTGAGAGCATGCCATGTGCAAACAACATATGGACTAGACAATAGCAATAAGACTACTGATATATGTCACTAGTTCATTATGTACAATGGTTGATATAGAAGGCTCTTCTGTAAGAAAAATAGTTCCACCGAAGTTAGAAGTTATCCAGCATGTTAGATGAATGAAACAAATTGAAAACCAAAAGACAAGTAAATGATCAACAAGTGAGCATACGACTTTTAGTGATGTATCACATTTTTATTTTTATTTTTTGAAACACATCACATTTTCCTCCCGTTGGTATGACCTTTGAGCATCTAAATATTGACATAAGAAACAATCTGGTATTGTTTCGATCAACTGTACTGTACGCACCTTATTGCCGCTCTAGTTCTAATGTGAATCTTACTTGGCTACATATTCCAATTTATTCAATCAAAGACCCACACTTGCAAGAGTCAACAGCTCACTTGATTACTGTCATGGATGAGGTGGATGAGAAATCAACATAAGTTGTAAGGTACATGCACACTGAGTGATCACCCATGCCCCAGTGTTGCCACAAACGCATCCAATAAAGTCATCAACATTATCATTTGTATGTGTTCTTTCTTTGCCAAGCCTCAGTGCAATCAAAATGCAAATTAGAGGAAAAATAAGAGAAGCCAAATAATGGGTTTGCAGGAGGTGTCAATAGAACTGTGCAGTTTTGCTTGCTTGAATGTGGATAGCAATGATGACCAGAAGCAGAGGATAATGGGAGGGTTTCTGAATGCAGACCGTTTTGATCAAGACTGGCTTTGTCTATGTCACCTTCAACAAAATAAGACACTACCTCAAGCTTTCTAAAGATTCAAAGGATGGAACAAAGTGGTAGAACTAAATATGGAAGTAAAAATGTCATACCTGAGCAAAGAAATCAGAATGTGTGTGTTTGCTGTGCAAAATGAAGGGAAAAAACAGGGGACCTATGGTAAAATCTTCTCTTCTGATAAAATGCATGGTTCTGGATATTTTTGATGACTCACATCGCACTCCTCTCAAACCCTGAGGTTCAGTACACGATTCTCTGTGTCATTCTCTGCTTGGAACAAAGGTACTTTCATGAAAGTATCAGGAAGCATTTGTATAAAAAGTTGTATTGGTGAACACCACGTGATCTACTCTGCAGTCTGTAGTAGGTAGTAACTGGCTTGAGTGCGCATTACACAATTACTACAGATTTCACTAAAAAAGCAGATAGTTCCCTTATCAGCGAAACTTATACAGTCTACTCCAACAATGGAGAACATATACTTTGGCTCCATTGATCCAACTAGATCTATGGCACTCCAACACTGGTCTTCAACCTTCTCTCTCACTGCATTTTGTCATCTATTTCACGCGTAGAAAGCAAACAAAACTAAACTGCATTTGAAAGATTGCCCAGTAGAAAGCTTCAGTGCAGCCTATTTGACTGTGGTGTCTATGCAACCAATATGTAATGACTATTTGTCGCAATCCCTGCTAGCTTCTTCTGCAGGGTACCAGCATCCAACAAACTAAGAGAGTAACCAGACAGAGAGAGATGGAAAGAGCTGGAGTCCATATAATGGTGAATGGTGACAGCGAATTTAGCATATTATCCAACAGCACACGCAATTATATATAGCCGTGCCATGTTGTCCCAGCACAATTCGAAACTGATAGGGGCCGAGAATCTACCTAGCATTGCAGGTACGCAGTAATGCTACTACATTTATGTCAGAACTCTCATGCCATTTCCTCAGCAAATTCGTAGAGGAGACGGGAAAGAGATCAATAAGCATTCCGTTAACGCATTCCCTCGAACAGATCCATGTGCTCTCTCAAATGCAACGCATACCAAGATCAATCCAGCCCTTAGTCCTTCCTACGCGGAATATCACACTAAATCAAACCACATCTCCACTAAACCAGAACAAGCCCGGAACCCAAATGGAAACGGCAGACAGGATTTTACCAACGCTCCCCCCACCCAATCACAAAACCGAAGAACTTGTGCTACGGAGAAGACGCAACGAACCAAAAACAAAAACAAAAAAAAAAGAAGGGCACATACACACACCTCCTTCTTCTTCCTGGCGAGGTTCCAGATCCTCCACGTCATGTTCTCCAGCCTCGTGTTCTTCTCCTGCGGGCTCCGCATCGCGTTCGCCTGCGCCGACACCACGCCTCCCGTTCAACACACAGATCGGGGGTAAAAACAAAAAAAACAAAAAAAAAACATCCGCAAATTCACGCGCGGCGAGCCGGGAGATTCGCTCGCGGCGCGCGTGAGCGGAGGGAGAGGAGAGGCAGGACCGCGGCGCGGACGTACGCGGAGCCATGTCTTGTAGAGGTCGGTCTCGTCGTAGCCGGTGATGACCTCCTCGACGAAGTACCGCGCGGGGGAGAAGTGGCCGCGCTCGCGGAGGAGGAGCGAGGGGCGGTCCCCCGCTCCGCCTCCCCCACCCACCGCCGAGGCCGAGGCCGAGGCGGCGGCGCCCTTGCCGGCGTCGAGGATGGCATCCAGGTAGCTGTTGATCCAGTTGTCGTTGCCGTACATCGCGCCCGCCCGCGCGCGCGGGGGCCCCCCCGCCGGCGGCGAGGCGGAGGCGGTTGCTGCCGCTGCCGCCGCCGCCGGCGAAATCGAGAGGAGGCGAGGCGACGAGGGGTGGGCGTGGGCGTGTGTGTGGGGCAAAGTGGTGGCAAATAAATAAATAAAAAAAGAAAAGGGAACAGGTGGCGATGCGAAATAAATAGCGAAAAATGGAATCGAAAATGGAAATAATAAATCGGACGTGGTTATTGCCCCCCAACCGCAGTTGGCCACTTGGGTTTTTGTCCGATGTTAACCGTTGGATTTTGATCTAACGGTCAGGAACCTGTCTCGTGTGTCTTTTTCTCCTTGCTTACATGTGAGGGTTGGATCCAAAACCTTGAGAATGTTTTGTTTAAATTCAGACTAATTTAAAGTGAATCCAAAAACCTTAAAGAAAACTCGTGTAGGAGTTCATGGCTTTTACGATATTGTAATAAAATTAGAAAGGTTTTTAGTATAACTTTTGTCGTTTGTCAGAGTATAATATGGTATGTTATTAGCCACGATGGTTACAAGCGAGTGTTTGTCCGGTTTTTGACTGGTTTTTCAACTTTTGCATTGCATTTATTTCAAAACAATTATAATATGCCATGCATTAATTATTGAAATCATTTCTCCTAAAAAAATGATGTGTTATTTGGACAGCTTGTTTGATTGACTAGGTGAGCATTCATTTATATGTACAGCCTCATGGTCTATTGCCTGCTTTATAGGCCATGGCATTTGCTTTGATACCATTAATTTTGTTCTAGATATGTGTGTGTTTAATTAACACTAACCATGATCCACCTTCTCACTCACCTGATGCTCTAAAAGTTCTATAACCACATGGCACTGGAATCTTTCTCCTAGCTTATGTGGACAGATTTGGAAAGTTTCCAGTTCCAGATTTCCAGGTAAGACATAATAATACATTTTTTTCACCTGTTCTATAGGACTGTTGGAGCAGCATCTTTTACTTTCTCACCTGTTCCATTTTTTCCTTCTCCATGGCAATTGAATTTGACCTTTAGGGCAACCCTGCCTTGAATTAAGAAAAGGGAAAGAGCTCAAATAAGAGTCTAATTTGTAGACCAGATAATATTATTGTTCAAGAGTCTTGGTCAACTATGGATTAGTACTCCCATATCATAGTATATGGAATAATGCGAGGTTGTTAGCTTGATAGCGATAAGTTTGGTCTTTCATGGCTTCAAAGAACACAATTCTATTCGGTCTAGATGCTAAGAATGTCTTAAAGCTACGTCTTTAAGCAAATGTTTTCGGATGTTAAAGTAACATTGCACACATCACCCACCATTTTTGAACTAAGGGCAATGCGTTCGGCCTAATGCTGATTATGATAAGTCACACAAAAAAAATATTTTGAGGACGAAACTTTCATACATATTTTCTTAGCCCGAGTTTAGATCCAAAGTTTTTCTTCAAACTTCCAACTTTTCCATCACATCAAAACTTTCCTACACACATAAACTTTCAAATTTTCCGTCACATCGTTCCAATTTCAACCAAACTTTCAATTTTAGCGTGAACTAAACACACCCTTAGTGATTTAAAAGCCAATAACGATGAAAAATAAACTACGATGAAAAAAATCTTAAAATTAACTTTTAATTTAAACTTTAGCAACGGCTTATAAGCTGTGGGACATATAATGGCAACCGTAGTTCGTCGCGGGTTTCCCGTATGTGTATTCTCAACGGGGCTTGGTGATAAAAGGGGATAACCTTGTAAGCTCACTGGCTCGTCACAGTGGAGTGGGTATGCTATAGCGATGGTTTTTAATTATGTCAGTTGTATTATTTGTTTTTGTTGCACATAGTAAGATTTTTGCCATGAGTTAATATTATTTGAAGTGAACAAATTTTAAGAAAAATATAGCATTTTCAACACGAAACAAATATTGTTACGTGCTTCAATAAATATTTCTAGCATAAAAATAGATTCAATGGAACTAAAATTGGCATATTACTACATGTTTATATGAATTTGTTAAAATTTAAAGAAATTTGACTTTAAAAAATTATTTGAACCGGATAAAGTATGTTTCCATGTAGGCTCTAGAATATGGTCCAATAAACCAACATGTCTAAATATGGTCCAGAACCATATATATTTCCTTACAATAAAGTTTATCATCACCATGAACCAAAAAAAAAAGGAAAGGAAAGAAAGAAAGGCACTTCAAATCTGCTTCCATAAGACCATAACAAATATACAATTCCTAGAGACCCAGAGAACAAAACTTCTAGAGAAAGAAACAAAAATTTGGCGCCAAGGAAGTGGCGGAGAGAAACGGCAAACCCAAGAGCCCCACACACCAGTGGACACAACACACAAAGGGAAAGGCACAGCCAGCCGTCGCCGTCGCCGTCGCCGTCGCGTCGCCACTCCTCCTCCTCTTTAGATATTCCCCCAATTTGCCATTGTTTACCAGCCAACTTGGAGTTGCAAAAGCCAGTAGCGCTATAGCTCGGTCTCCATCCGGTGTCACCCACCGTCTCCGACCCTTCCCTTCTCTCCTCGCCTTTTCCTGTGTGCCAAGCGACGCGTCATTGGTTGGTTGGTTTTGCTGGTTTGGCCAGCTTGTTGATTAGCGCTAATCTGCTAACCCCCCACCTCTAATTAGTATCATTTGCCGCTGACCTAGCCATGTGCAGCAGCGACAGCATCAGCGGCAGATTAGTTTAATTATGGGTAATCTACTGCTGATCTTATCCCCTAAACCGAATATTACAGCAGTCGTTAGGCTTAGGAAGGGCTTGTAGATTACTTATATAGTAGATTGGTTGGTTAATCTTGGGATGGTAGATATGTTTTTTTTGAACGGAAGATGGTAGATATGTGATCTAGTACGTCTCGAGCTTAATTTGTTAGTTAAGTGTGTGCGCGGCAGTTGGAGCTTTGGCTAGCTCTTGAGTAGAACTTTCTTTTTTTTAGTAGAACTTTCTTTAATTTTTGTTTCTGCCAATGGGTGTTCGCGATGGGATTCTCCTAACGTGTGGTACGTACTGTTCGTGGCATTGCTTGTAAAACACGAAGTAGGTCAGGTGCTTTTGAATTATTTTTTTGAAGTGTGGGGAAGATTCGATCCAACGGTTTGGCATAGGTCTTTGGATTAAAAGTTGAAGCTAATTTTGAATATATTTTTCCTAAAAATAATTCAAAAGAGAGCCAGGCAGGCAATGGAAGTGGCGAAGGAACACCCAACATTAATAATCCTCAGACCAAAGTTAAAATTTAAACCAGCTTCGGATTTTAAGCCAAAACCGTGCCAGGCATATTTTGATTTGTCCTTTTTAACGCCTGATGATTTGGACAAGTCGATGGAAATGGAAGATGGTCAACCCGTCAGATGACTAACGGAGAAATGTTTTTTTGCTCAGCTGCAAATCGCGAATTAATTAGAGACGTTGAAACTTAGTAATTGAAAGCTACAGGTCGATTAGGAATAGGATCATGCAAATATTATCGATTCCTCGTAATAAAGGCAACGGCAACGATGAGGTTATGCCTTCGCGGGATTGGGCCAGCTCGGCGCCTCCGAATGGTTCAGTTGACCTAACGATTCTTATCGCCACAGGACACGTCCATGTCAGGATCAGGTTCAGAGGAGAGAACGGAATTTTCTTTTTTTTTTTTTCGTCACCCGTCCTTGTCTTAATCACCTATACTTGGAAAATAGCATGATGTCACAAATTGAAAAAAATGCGCCCCATTTAACTTTTGAGATTTGTTAACTTGTGTTCGTTTCTGGGTTAAGCTGCCATGGTTTAACAGATAGTGTGACGTTTAGATGGAAAATTCTAGCTATATGCGCCCTTCAGTCCCTGTAAGACCTTATTTAATGTCGAGATACATAGTTAGAAATAAGATCTTTTACGAACAGAGGGCAGCTAATGCTGCAATCTCGGTTCACAACCCTTTGAAACTTTATTGAAGATACTGTCACATTGCGAAACTGTCGCTGGCTGTGAAATGCTACATGTGTACAGCACTAATCATCTGCTGATCGGATTGTCTTCATCATACAATACAGTGCTCAATAATAGTAATCCCACAAACCTGTGCATGGTTCCTTTACATGAGAGCCGAGAGCCTCTGCCTCACTCGGTCGAGGCTCAAGACCAAAGGGCAACAGAGCTATTCCGCCACCGTTTCAGAAAGTCTGCGATGCAGTGTTCTGAAAGATCAACTCCTAGAACACGGATATCAAGTCCTCAATTTGATCCAAGTGAAAATGCTTCTTCTTCAGCCTCCTGCGGCGAGTGTTGCTTGCCCTGCCAAACAATGTCCTTTTTAATCAGCTATCTAGGCAACAAAAACTAGAAATAAGAGTGAAGGTCTGCATATCACTAGCTTCAGTCAGACTTTGTAATGTGATCATTTCTAGTAAAAGAAATGGGGGCCTTTACAGGCTCTAGTTCAAAAAAAAAAATCACTAGCTTCAGTGAGCATTACGAACAGGGGCAACCAATGAGCGTTGTGAACAATTGAAGCGTTATCGATCACTGCACTCACCAATACTGGTTGTGAAACACCACATTGTCCGCAGGTACATGCTTCCCATCATCGTTTCTATTCCACTGGTAGATAGCATGAGTCCTGTTTTTCAGTTGCAAGATCGAATGACCATAACTAGCCTCCCTGAATGCAGAGTAGTCTGGCTGTGGATCACTGAACCTGCAACACCGTGATTTTGAACAATGAGTGAACCGTAGGAGTGCGTAAACAACAATATTACAAATAGTATGTTTTCCGCTATAAATTCATTTGCCTTTACCTTGAAGCAAGCCCTTCCTGGTTGCCTCCATCACCAACTGTTATGTACACAGGAGCAGATTTGTCTGGCACTGGATATCGATTACCCGATGTTATGTTGTAGTTGATGTTAGAGATACGATACTGCAAACATAGACATATAGAAAGGTACTTACGAGGAAACAAAAATCAAAGTTCAGAGCTCTTCGACTAGAAATGAAATAACAGGCTAGCATAATTTCTTCTGGTCAATTCTCAAAATATAACTTTACGAGATTCAGACCAAATTCAGCTCTTTTTTTTTAATATCAAAGAAGCTTGTGCCAAAGAATTAAGTAAATATTTACCGATCTCTCATAAGCATGCACATGCCCTGCAAATACCAAGTCAACCTTGTACTTCACAAACCATTTCTCAAAAGCAGCCCTCATACTCTCACCCTCCATGTAATGTGCTTCATTGCTGTTGTACATGGGAGAATGCATGAGAACAATAAGCCAAGGAGTCTTCTCTCTATCCACATGCTTCAATTCATACTTCAACCAGGTCCATTGAGGAGTGTATTTTACTGGTAAACATCAGAGATAAGCTTATAAGGCATACAACAAAATATTCAATGAAAAGAATCATCCAACTATCAAATCATACATGCATCACATAATCACTTCTAAATATAGTAGATGATGGTCAGGATATTACGCCAATGAAAAAAAGATACTAGTAGATCTGCACTCATTCAAGGGAGCATCCATGCCTGTCCCCACACAATGTTACAGGTTTCAAACAGCTGGAACGCGGAACCTTGCATTATTAGTAGTTTCAAACTTTCAATCAAACCAGAGAAGACTTTATGTTTCTATCCATCCGCATCAGAGATAAAGAATATCGTCATACTCACATTTGGATCAGTAAGAAGACAAGAAGACAGTAACACGATAATTTCTTTTGTCTAAGAAGTGCTACTTTTGCCCCTCCTTGACTTGGAATTTTGAACTACGTGAAGCACTTGGAACTCCCAAGTCACTATCACCACCACAGCCGCCACCACTAAATCTGGTGGTTTGTACAGACTTAATGGCATATACAAAACAAAGCAAGTCAGAGAAAGGATCTTTATCTTACCGAATGGAGAATAGCTAGAAAGCACAATGATATGAGCAGATGCACGTCTGACTGCATACCACATAGGAGAACTGCTCTTTGATGCCAAATATGGAGTGTGACATCTATGCAGATATGGCTTAAATGTAGAAGTTTCTCCCTGAAAACATAAATACGAATGCGGTCAGGGTTAAAGAAAGACAACTATGTCAGCTAGTTAAAATGCTCAGGTGGAACTGCAGTGTTATTCTGAACAATGGATAAGTTATTACTCCCTCAGTCCCATTTTAAGTGCAATCATGAGTTTCCTCGTCCAACTTTGATCGTCCGCCTTATTTGAATTTTTTTTATAATTAGTATTTTTGTTGTTATGAGATGATAAAACATGAATAATATTTTACTTGTGACTTATGGTTTTTAATTTTTTCAAAAAATTTTCAAATAAGACGGACGATCAAAGTTGGCGCGGAAAACCATGGCTGCACTTAAAATGAGACGGACGGAGTAGCTTATAAGCACAGATCCTTGTCAGTGTGTAAATCCACGTACAGCCAGCTATAAGAAAAAATAAACTAATACAAAGATCTATAGATCACATATCTATTTTCTTCAGTATTATTTGCCTGTAATTGTCCTCTTCTGAACATGCTAAAGCAAGGAAAAATCCAAAAAAGTTGGGAGTTTACAAAATGTCGAGAAATCACTACTTCCAATCAGAGGAATATGTGGTAAAAAAAAACAACTGGTGTATAGATGAGAAGAATGTTAACATACCAGATCAGGCCTGTATTCAATTTCATGGTTACCAGCGCTCCAAATCCATGGTTGATAAGCGGTACTACGTTCCACAAGCCGCCCCCAAGAATCCCAACGAACACCATCATTATGTTGATATCTATCAGCATATGACAAATCCCCAACAAATAAAACAGTTTGACCTTCGCTTTTCTCATAATGTTGAAGGGTTGAGAGGGAATTAAATGTCTGCCCCAGATCACCTAGCAAAGCACAGCCAGAAGACTTTAGTATCAACAAGCTCGGACACTATAACCATATCTTGACATAGTGGTTCTTTCCATGAAGTCATTGATCCCCATTTTTTCCGTTCATGTATTCCCTTATCCTAAAGCTAGGATGTTTGACAAGAACAGAGGATGTGTTTCCAGTCCTTCTGATAGTATAATCTTGTTGAGATCTATCTTATATGACTCATGCAACCTAGGTAAAATCCTAGAAGAGATGTTGCAGAGATCCAAAGTAATTCGATGACACATGCTGTTAACAAAAAAATACTTGAGAAAACAAAAGACGAACCAATTATGCCAAATGTGTATGATGCATCTGGATCAATTGCTGGAGGAGTTTCAAACCAAAATTCTCGAGCTGAATCTCCACTTCCAATCTTATAATAATATTTGGTGTTATACTGCAAAACAATATAGTAATTTTATATATTTACAATTTTAAATTGGAACTAACAACAAAATAATGTGCACACAGAGTATTTTGTTAATGCATCATACTAGAATAGTAGAACTATTCCACAGAACTAAGAAAGTGTGTGAAAATAATTTGTGCAGGTGAGCATCGTGTTTCAACATGATAACCTTACTCAATTGAAATTTGACGAAGAAAAGTTCTCTGTCAAATCAAATTTGTGCATAATAACTCTAAGTTTACAGCTAAAGTAGATCATTATGGAATTATAAGTGAGAAGGTTGTGTGATAGTTACTTAGAATATGTCTAAGCTGTTTACAAAGGAAACATGATGTTGTAGGTTATTCTATTTTAGTATTTTGCATGGGTAAACATAATGTTGGACAAATATTTCTACAATTGTATGCAAGTATAAAATGCAAAGCCTAAACGATATGAAGAAAATGAAGTCTAGTACCTCAAGACCATCAACAAGGCAATGGTGAATATATCCAGATTTATAGTCGTAAAAGGTATAATTTGTTACTGTTCCTTCCACTCTCTGATCATACTGGTGCTCATTTTTACCATAGAGCACCTCACTTGTCCCAGGTTCTGCTACAGTAACCCATGATACTATAACAGCTTTTCCATTATAGTCACCTTGAGTGATATGAACCTGGCAGCAGACCAATCAATTAAAACACCGTCGATTCATTGCAATGAACTGATCTGGCAGAAGAGTTTAGATACCTGCTGTGGCGCATTGTAGCCGTTTGGAACCGCAAACCATTCGCTTTCTAGAGGTATATCAGTCGATGGGTACTCCGTACGCACGTAAGAGCTCGTGCGGCCACAGGAGACGCCATTGACAAGGCACAGAAGAACATGTAACAGTAACAACGCAAATCTCCAGCCCATCACTGATGCAGAACACTACCGATCCCCGTTTTGAACCTGTTACATGTTCAATTGAGACCAAAACAAACACCTATGAGATATTGAGATTCATACGAGTATGACCACAGAAAATACTCGAAATGAGGGATTAAACGTTTTTTTAAAAAAATAAAAAAATTGTGCACATGAATCAGCCACATGGCTATGGTGTGTCGTCCTGGACCTCCCTGGTACAACCAGCAGAGATTCGTACAGAATAAACACGAACAGCTATGGCGCTGTACTACCAGAGGGCACCCAATCCAAGCACACCCCAAGTTCGGATGGATCTTCAATCCACGCCTCGCGCCCGCTCACCAAGCGAAGCGCGGAGGAGGAAGAAACGAATACCTGATTCGAACCTCCCGAGACGGACGCGCCGGTGGAATGGGGGCCGCGCCGCCGCGCCGCCTCGCCGGCGAAGACGACGGAGAGGATGGCGAGCGGGAGAGAAGCCCACCACCCACCAGCGGAGGCGAGGAGTGAAGGCGGCGTAGCAAAGCTGACACCTCACGGAAGCAAACTCTGTAGTACAAGTATACCGCACGGCTCGTCTACTACGGTGGTGGCGAGAAAATGGAGGAGAAAGCGTAGGATCGCAGAGGATCTACTGATTCGAAGTCGAGACGAGGAGGAGGATGATTCGAAGCGAAGCTGGAAAAAGGGTGGGAGGATTCGCTTACCGTGCAGGGGAGGGGATCGTCTCGCGCTGGGTTGGGGACGGAGACAGAGAGAGAGGATCATGTTTGGTGTTACGAGACGGCTGTTAGTTGGGACCTTTCCTACTTAGCGCATAATTAATTAAATATTAGTTATTTTTTAGAAAAAATAGATTAATATAAATTTTATGAAACAACTTTCTTATATATTTTTTAAAAAATATATCGCTTAACAGTTTGAAAAACGTGTGCGCAGAAAGAAGAGAGATGGGTTGGAAAATAAATAACATAGTAGTGTGATTGGTAGTATCTTCATTTTTCAGTTCGAGTTGCTAGTTTTCCTCGTTTGCGAGATGGGTTGGATGGATGGTTTTGTTTCCGTGGTTGTTGATGGTTTTGTACCGGACACACTGAAATATCTAAATATCTGTTACTACTTCCGTCCATGGAAGTAGTAGCAATTAATGATCGTTTTAAAATCATTTAGCTCAAAAGATGTCTAATTTATAATTTTAGAATTAAATTTCTATAATCATATTATTTTATCGGTTGTGTGTCAATCTCTTATCTTTAAAGCTTTGATGTATTACTAATTTCTTTACGAAATCACTCGAATAGTTTTCCTATGTAATCAACTTGTAGCAGTGTATTAACTTAAGATTTCAATAGATATTTATAAAATTATGGCAGGCATTAGTTACTGTTGTTTGGTTGGTATACTGAGGTTGTCAATATTTATAATAATTGTATGCCTTAACTTATCTACAGTTTTGGCCAATGAAATAAAACCACAATTTGGCTAGCAAAAGGCAATCACACACGCGCTTGTTTGAGTCATGATGGAATTGGAATCTATAGGATGAATTGTGCTACCGCTCTAGTTATACTTATGATATGGCAAGATGATGGAATTTGCTTCAACCTAACAAACCTTAAGTCACCGCCATACCGCTCCTTTCAAGTGATGGTAGGGTATTGTGGAGTATTTTTCCTTTCCTTTTTTCAGCCTGCTCCTCCAGTTTTCCTCCGTTTGCAATACAGGTTGGATGGACGGTTTGCTTTTGTGGTTGTTGATGGTTTTTTTTACTGAAATACCCTCTCCATCCAAAAAAAAAAAAAACTTAGGTTTCCGCGTCTAATGTTTGACCGTCCATCTTATTTGAAAAAAATTAAAAACATAAGTCATGCATAAAATATTATTCATGTTTTATCATTTAACAATAATAATAACACCAATCATAAAAAAAAATTATATAAGACGGACGGTTAAACGTTGGACACGGAAACCCAAGAATTGAGTCTTTTTGGGATGGATGGAGTATTTGGTAGCAATTAATGATATAATTTTAAAAGTAATCAATTCAAGAATTGCCTAACATATAATTAATTACAGTTTAAAATTTTCTATTGTCAAATTATTTGTCACATATCCTATTTTACTATAAAGTTATTCCCCACTAACTCCTTAAGCTTAACATGCAAAGATGCCACATCATCATCCACTAACAAGATGCCACATCATCATTCACTAATTAACAAGACGCCACATCATCATCCACTAACAATCATCATGTTTAAACATCGTGCAAACATGCTATATCTTTATAGTTTTTATAATTTAGGAGCTTTTCAAATACAAACATGTTAAATTATCATACAACATAATTCACATAATGTTTCAATGTATATCTTTATTATGTTTTATGATATCCTATATAAGTCCTCATTTAGTTAGTGCTTAAATGATTAATCTATGGTCCAAATTATCTTTCTCCTTTTTCCTCTAATTAAGTCGTATCACATTAATTGTTTTTAGCCTTTAGATGATTAATCTACGGTCCAAACTATCTCCCTACTTTTCTTCTTCCATAAAGTCATACCACCTTACTTTTTACGTTTGAATCACCATTCTACTATTTAAGTTTAAATTATCATAAACCACATTAATTTACTTAATCTGATGTTATCTAGTTATCTTGCACGTTATTTTTTTTATCATACTAAATTCCCGCAGCAATGCGCGGGGTTTCACCTAGTATTGTTTATATCGATGGCATGTGCATCAGCCTCGATGTGTTGTTAGTATCATGATAAAACCACACGAATGCTTTCTCGTGCGAACAGCTCACAAGATGTGTATTAACTTTGAATAAACAAGGCTTTCAATATATTTTAACAAAATTTATGGTTATTAGTTACTCCTACTAAGTATTGGAAGTATATGGATCTCGACACACCACGATACCAAATCTGGAGGATTGTTTGATTCATTGATTGGCATATTGAGGTTATGTTTTGGCTACCAAAGGCCAATCACATCGCACTTGTTTGAGCCAATCATGGAATCTAGATTTAAAAAGATAAACCAAATAGGCAAAATCTAAACCGAGAAGCCTATCGGTTTAGCGTTAACCAGCGACAAACCAATTTGTGAGAAGAACTGCTACATGTGCTGGCGTGCATGCTTGTTTTTCCTCTTAGACATGCATGTCTTTTCCTTCCTTCTTATAAAGTTTTCTCTCAAATTACTTATCCGATCTACAATCCGATTACACCATTGTATTCGTTACAATTAAATCTTCACAACAAGATCTTACATGATTATATTACGATGAAAAAATATTTATATTTGTAAATTACTTTTGTTATATACATAAGTTACTTTTATCATATATATAAGTTACTTTTAGATTTGACTAAGTTACTTCTTAGACATATAAAAGTAAATTCAATAAAGTCTAAAAGTAATTTACATATATTATAAAAGTATCTTAAAACAAAATGGAAACATACTATTGCATTTTTTTCAAGTTGAAAGGAAACACTAGATGGAGTACAAACCAGCTACCACTAGTTGTGTAGTCACGTCCAATGAAAAAAAAATGAATGCATTAAAGTTACTTTATTTTTGTTATAAGTTACTTTTATAATATATGTAAATTACTTAAGCTTTATTGAATTTACTTTTATATGTCGAAGAAGTAATTTAGTGAAATCTAAAAGTAATTTAGATATATTATAAAAGTAATTTATAATTTTTCATCAAAATATAATCATGTGAGCTCTTGTTATAAAGATTTAATTGTTACGAACATAACGGTGTAATCGGATCGTAGATTGGATGAGTAGTTTAAGAGAAAATTTTATTTGAAGTATAGGTGGAATATGATCTCTCATAGATGGAGTGGTAGCTGATTTAAACAAACCAGCTACCATTAGCTGTGTAGTCACGTCCAACCAAATAGATTTAGTATTTTTATATTTGAGAAAGTAGCTTATGACATGGCAAGATGATGCAATATATTTTGTCCGTTAAACCTAACAAACTTTGAAGTCACTGCCATACCGCTCCCCTACCGTCATCGGCATGGGTGGAAATCAGGCCAGCTTCATATGCCTCCATCAAAATCGATTTATTTATCCTTTTATCATATGGAGCTGTTCTTTTAACAATCTAAGGAGAAAACGGCGTAAAATCTAATTTTCGTTCGGCAATAAACAACTTTGATTTTCTAAAGTCAGCGTAACTTATCTAGCTAGATTCTTCGTAATGAGACTTATTTACTTGAACTCAAATCTTAGACTTTCATGGCTAATTATTTTTTAAGTAGTAGGACTTTGCTAGTATTAAGATATGCTACATATATATCTTGACATCTCAATTATTAAAACCGTTATAATTTGACTCTAAAGATAGTATTCATAGTGGTATTGATGTGAATACGAGCTGCGTTAGCAAATACCATTATAAATACTATCTTGTGAGTCAATTACATTGGTTTTAACAGTTAAGGATCAAGATATCCGTATTACGGTTGAGGGGCGTGAATTAGATTTAACCTATATATCGGGGAGTCTAGGTGGACTTATTCCAAGTAATAAACCCCACAAAATGGAAGCTCGCGAAGCCCACAAGCCGCAGGAAAGCCCGCGACGAGAATACCAAACCAAATCCACCAAGTCCAAGGGGATCTCTCTCTCGCCTCGCCTCGCCTCGCCTCGTCTAGTTGAGCAGCCGCGACGAGCACGGCGGCGACGACGACCTCCGCCGCGACGATGGCCGCGCGCCTCCTCCTCCTCGTACTTTTCGCCGTCGTGGCAGCGCGCGTAGGCGCAGCGGCGGCCTATCAGCCCGGGTATGTCCCCCCCTCGCCGCGCCACCCCCAATCTCGTTTTGCTCCGTGATCCAATCCAAATCGACCGCGAGTTGACCACGGCTCTCGCTTTGGTGGTTCTCCAGATCTGCTGAGGGGCACACGATCGCGGGCCGCATCAAGATCGATGGTTAGTCTCCGGCTATTCTCACCCTATGGCTCGAGTGAATTCCGTGGAGCTTTTGTGCCAGATGCGTGCATTGAGGTTGTTGTTGTGCTCGGATCGTTGGGGATCGTACTCGTGTAGCTTAGGTGCATCAGATATCTTTGTGTGTCAGGGTTGTTTGGGGATAAAAGCCTTTTTTAACATTCGATTTCATAGTTGGCTATGGTCAATTTGCTGGAATTATTTTCGAGATCTGCCGATTAAAGTGTCCCTAACTTTGTACTTAAGGTAGTGACTAACGAGATTTGATACACTATTTATCGAGCTCATCTAGTTCCGTCTTAGCGCAAGCCAGCGCTAGCCAACTTTGTTAGCTATCGACTACTTAGCAGCTTTGAGGGTTTGTTAATTTAGTTAGTGATTTTTCAGGCACTCGTGGAATTCATTGCATTTGTGCAAGCTGTTTTTCAGATCATGCACTGATACAGTTCGATGAGCCCCTGGTTTTGGTTACTTAGTCTCATGGGGTTTGCTTAGATGACAGTTGGTATTCGTATTGACTGATTTTAGCTGAGCTTTCATTGGTCAGGGGGTATTTGATTATGAATATCTGATGATTTTAGCTATGTTTTACAAGAGTTTGAAAGTGAGCTTTCGTGGAATTTTGAATTGCAAAAACCGTGTGTTGTACTGTTGTGATTGCCATCATAGTTTATCCGGCACTTTTTGTTTCTAGGACGAGTCTCTACCTGCGTTACAACATGTTCGATAGATATGTTGGCAACTTGGCATGAGCATTGAAGCCCACGTTTCCCAACCATGCTTATTGAAATAATTCAGACCACAATAATAAATGGCTGCTGTATAGTGTTTCAGACCGCTTTTAACTTTTACATTTTCTCTTGCTGAAAACATTGTTAGCTTGTGGATAGAACCATGGGTTTTTCAGTGCTGGATATTTCATGTGAACTCAGATTGTCAAGGCAAGTCTTAGTTTTCTTTGCACTCAGGGATCTTGCATTTGCTCCTTATCTGGAATTAAGTTTCCATACCCGTGAAGCCAAATTGTACTAATTATTATAATGATAACCAGTTGATGTCGTTTTTTTTTTCTGTTTTATGTGCTTATAGCTGCAAGTGCAATTGCAAAGGGCTTTGGTCTTCCAGCCAAGACATCAAACACAAAAGTGATACTTAACGGTGGTCAGAGGGTTACATTTGCCAGGCCAGATGGCTACTTTGCATTGTATCCTGCAAAATCTGCAAAACCATATGTTTACAACCTTTCAGCTCCATTTTGAGTTCCCGGATTAGGGAAATTAGTCATTTTTCATTAAATTTAATTAGCCTGCTCTATTGTTGGATGTCTCATATCTTACATTTCCTATCTGTTATGGGTAGCCTTATTCCTGAAAATTAGATATAGCCTCTGGGTTGCTAATAGAAATAAATCTAGCTCTGTTGTTGTAGTATTCTTGTTTGTTATTTTTTTTCCAATGTTTCCTTGTGGGCAGCAATGCCACAATGTTAGAAGAGCATACTATGTTGCTTTTTGTTCCTCCTTGACATGATATGCTTAAGCCACAATGTGCCAGCTGGTACTCATTTAATTGAGGTCTCCTCATTGGGCTACTTATTTTCACCAGTAAGTGTTCATTAGTCATTTTTTTTTCTGTAACATGGGTTAAATGGGCATCAAGATTCATTCTCTATTATGCTGGGTGATAGGTTCGGGTAGACATCAGTGCCAGGAATCCTGGGCACATTCAAGCAGCATTGACTGAAAACAGAAGAGTTCTAAATGAGCTTGTGTTGGAACCTCTCAGAGAAGAGCAATACTACGAGGTGACTAATACTAACCTCATGTTTCTTATTTCTTCAGTACTTTCTATTGTATAATATTTAATAAGCAGTCAATTTCCCCCCTTCTTTTTCCTAGAAAAGGGAGCCTTTCTCCATTATGTCACTTTTGAAGAGCCCTATGGGTATGATGCTTGGTTTTATGGTCATAATGGTCTTCGTTATGCCCAAAATGATGGAGAACATAGGTATGCTGCACACTTTTAGCCTTTTATGTCCAAATTTGAGTTATAATGTAATAGTTATTACACTATATTTTGTGCCCACAAGTAGCAGCTATGCAGAACAGGATTCAAGCCCAATAGACATTTTGCACCATGTAGCTCGTATCATACTTTTGCAGAAAGATATTACATTTAATTGTGTTGTTCATTCCACATCTCTCATTCTGTTCCATTGGTTGTAAATTTAGGCCCCGTTCTTTTCTGCTTACTCATCAGATTATTGTCGCATATTATTTGCTCCACGCAGCTGTGGAGCCAAGGCCCAGCGAACCTAGTCTGGTGCCGGGGCTCCACCGCATGCAGCATACAAGCATGACATATTATAGTTACCTAATTACGTTGCTTTTCTGTATCTAATCAAGAACAAATCAGCCATGCAAAGACAAAGTAGCAAGGCGATATAATTAATACCCACACCATCACTGTAGTTAGGATGCAAGATAATGGTAAAAAGCATATATTTGGTAAAAGTGCCTTTTTGTTTTTAAATTAGCTTGTATTTGTGTATATTTTTAGTTGCCATTGTCTACTCCTGTTATGTACCTTCTCAGTTTTTTATTTACAGTTCGTTGCTTCATTCTATGATATGTTTTTACAGTGGTTCCTTTCTTGAGCTCCTTGAGCAAAACATTTGTGGGTTAGCTGTTTGTTTCTTTAATCAGCTTCGCATTTTACAAAATATTTATGTACTGCTGACATGAAAGGGCTGAAAGAGCTTATGTTATTTGGTGATATGAATGATGTATATATTTTTAATAAATGTTACCTTATAATACTTGTTGATATTATGTATGTATTCTACCTGACTGTCTCTGTTTTACACTTGAAGATCCCGAGGAGATAAAGCAAGCTCAAGAACAAATGAGGAACTCCCCTGTTCCATCCTTCTCTGGCCTATTAGCAAGAGCAAACAGCTAGACATACTACACGGGGATACTGCATGGTTTAAGTTAAGTTTATGATGGGATGAAGAGCAGTACTGAACACCACACTTGAATAGAATCTTTCCCTAGCACAAGGTGGAAACTCTTTCTCCATTTTTATTGTACTTTAAGATGTAATAGGTTTGTGGGGGTAGAACCTTCTGAATCTAACTGAAGTAGCGATGCATTATTGAATTATTATAGCCCAGACTGAGTTAAGTGTGTTGAATTTTGGATGTTCGTATATTTCACGCCTTGTTGAATCAACTATAGCTATACTCATACTTGATGTTGACCTGCTATTAGTCACATGACGTTATGATGTACTCTCGACTTGATAAACATTAGGCCATGTCCATATGCAGGTGACTCAAATTGCTTGCTTGCTCTTCACTTGATTAACATGTCTACGTATCTGTCTATACTACAACTCTTGCCAGATTTTAAGCCGAAAGAAAGCTGGAAACCAATTATTTGATTGAAATCCTGCTTAATTTGACACTTGTGTAGCATACTAGGCTAGTAGCATGTGGCCACCAGATGGGACATGTTCCACTAGAGTACAATCCATGCATACTCTCAGAGTCTCACTACATACCTTCACACAACTGGTCACACTCAAGTCACAACCATGGGAAATTTTGTGCTCTCCAATGGCCTGAAAAAGATAAGGCACCAAAAGAACCAGGAGCCGCCTGAACCAGATCACACCTACCTTGCACCTCATGAAAATGATGTGTCCCATTCACAGAATCACACAACCTTTTGTGCTGAAGAATCAAGAACACAAGACAAATTCTAACAACCAGACACAAACCCCCATCATTTTGAATTTGGATTTGGACTAATTTGTCTCCTGGCATTTGTATTTTAGCCAATTCGACTGATTCTTTCGCAAAAATGGCCTCGTCATCGTCATCTTCGTCTGAGTTTGGGGGATTGGAGGAGGTATGATGCATGGGACCCTGATCGTTTATAGTGGTCCGAGCTTGCCATTGCAAGCAAAGATATCATCTTCAACGATGGCGTCCCATGCAAGCTACGTGCAAAAAGGATCATGGCATTTTTTTTCTGCCTTTTCTTCGTCCCAATTGACCTTTTTCTTTTGCTGGAAACCTGGAATATATTCCTTAAGAAAGTTCACAAGAATATATAAAAAATAGGAGACCACTTGCAGCAGCAGTAATGGCTGTGACAAGGAAATGATCAAATGAAGATAGTAGTGGTAGAAGAAAAAAAAAAGATAGTATTTGAGCAATTGAGCTGTACCAATTGCTCCTTCAGTCCACTTGCTGTACTCTACTCATCAGTACTGACAATGGACGGATAAAATACCTACTGGGATCTCTTTTCTTCCATGAGACCATGACCATCCATTATATTGACTCTCAAATCTTCAGTAAAATGGAGCATAACAGGAGCAAGCAAATAGGAAAAGACAATGGGATCTGCCTTATTTTCTAAGAAATGGAACCATTCCATTCAGTGGCGTGCTGCGTGGGCTCCTAAACGGTGCGATTTTGATATAAACTTTCTATGTATATGAATTTCTTAGAAAATATTTTAAATCTATTTTTTAACTTTATAAGAGTTAATTCATTCATTTGTAGAAAAACATGTCCTGCTTGGGAAGTTGGGAAAGCATCAGCATAAAATTTGATTTTAGGATCAATTGTCATGTCCTTTTTGTCAATTTTTTGGCCAGCTCTCTTTCATAACCGCTAAAGAAGACAAGGAAAGTACTCGTATTTAAAATTTTCTCCCAAGCAGCTTAGTTTCTGACTTGCTGATTTAGTCATACTGATACAGCTCTACATGAACCCGAATTATTGCAGTTAGGCTTCCCTCCAAATCTGACCATCTGTATGCCGTGCTGTATTTACCATCTGTATCTTTCTTTATTCTTCCTTGTAGAGAAGAAAGTGTCGGCAACATCGTGATGGAAAATGGGTTGCTCCCATGAATCTAGAGAGAGTATAGACAGAACATCACCATCAAGTGTCTCACCTACCATTGCAAAAAGATTAAATTATGATTAGTATATAAATCCAAATCCATGCAATAAACAAGGAAAAAAATATCTTAGACCTGCCTACCATCCATGGATGTGTGCTGATGTGTGTGAGAGATTATCTCTATGCATAAGTGTGAACCATATGCTTTACTTTGTGTTAATCTATGAGATGGTACATGTTACTACTTAACTAGCATCTCACAAGTCACAAGGCATATGCTCACATGAGAAATGGGATCTTCTTCTTGATCCAATTTTCCTTGCACCCAACTACATGTGAAGTGTTCCAATATGCATTTATGGAGCAAAGCTTTTGCACAGCTAGCTGCACTATACTACAGGAATTGTTCTTTGTTGGCTGGATCTATTGTTTCAAATTCGCCACCGAGTCGCATTCGAATTGTTGTTTGTTGTCGAACATTACAAGTTACAACTCAGTGCCAACTGTATTTCTGAATTCATTGGTACTGCCATCTGCATCACAAATTTTTGTGTTATCATTTTAGAAAACGTTTTTTGCTCGCCAGTAGGTTGTTTGAAAGCTTCATTGTACTTTGTTTTATCTGTAGTGTTTTTGCCTGTCATTAAGTGGCGGAAAAATCGATTCGTTGATATCATAACGTGCCTATCGGTGTCATAGTATGCTAATTATATTATAACATATGAATAAGCAGTTTTGTTATATATTTTGTCGAAAGTCGTTGATGTAGCCTGACATCGGTCCTAGAACCGTAGATCTGCCCCTGCTGTCATTAGCAACAAAACTATCACTGATATTAATGAACATGTGCCGATCGATTTCATTGAGCAGTTTGAGTTAAGCGTTTCTTTTTCGCAAGGTTGGAGATGGTTAATTGGCATTTATTTTGGTTTGGATATATGTGGGTGTCATATTATCTTTCTGTATAAGAGAAGTAAAGGTTGCTATTTTGGTGCCTTATTATTTGTCATGTATAATTGCAGCATGCCTGTATTTTGTATCTTAATGTGTATAAAGAAATTGTCATAAATCTGGTCCATCTGGACCTAGATCTACCTAATATTAGGACGACTGCTTCAATTCCAGCTATGCAAGTGATGTTTCCTTCAAACCAAACCAATGACAGCCTTTGTAAAATAATTACTCCTCACCAGCAGCATGCAGCATGTGATTACATCCTTTAATTTCATCTCTTCTCACTACTTCCCCTTAACAACCACTGATCCCCCTGCTTCCTAGCTACTAATACTCAAATAAATTGCTGTCCAGTACAGTACAGTACAGTACTAGTGTGCGTGGTTACATAACAAGACACGATTAAATTAAGCTAAGCACATGCTCTGTTGTATAGGATACCATTTGAGCTTGATCTTGCACATCTCTCACACCTTTTGGGTGTGTTTAGTTCACGCTAAATTGAAAGTTTGGTTGAAATTGAAATAATGTGACAGAAAAGTTGAAAGTTTGTGTGTGTAGAAAAATTTTGATGTAATGGAAAAGTTGAAAGCTTGAAGAAAAAGTTTGGAACTAAACCCGGCCTTTGTTAATTTTGCATACATAGCTTCTTTGATTTAACTATTCAACTAGCTAGGAATAGTTAATCCAAATCCAGCTATAATTGATGGATCCATGGTTGTGTGAACTGCAGCAAAGCTCTCCAAGTGGATTCCAAAATATATTCAGTGTTACACGTCTCTAGCACCGACATTGATTTGTGAGATGCTTCAAAGAGTCCAAATAATTGAGTAGGAGTAGTATAGTATAACAACAACCAAATATGCATGCATGCACATTGCTCCATGAAAGCATCCATCTGGTGGCTGCATGCTAATGCAATCATATTGTAGGTGTGTGCAGAGTTGTAAGGCAAGCTATCACCAGGGACCATGCATGCATCATCTTTTGGGCTCCATGTCCATACAGATTAAATCAGATATTAATTACGCTCTTTTTACTCTTGCTAAAGTCTATTGGTGGTGGTGACAGTAATTGTTCCACTTTTTTTTTTTTGAAAAATGCTTTTTACTCGACCTACTGGTGGTGGTGACAGTAATTTCCACTCTTTATAATTGAAAGATGCCTTTTACTCTTACTAAAGCTGCAATAGGAGGTGGTGAAAGCTTTCAGTTCTTCTTCTCTCTCTGAAAATTGCATCAACTTAGAGGCATTGCTTATAGATAATAGGGATGAATGGTTAATCACTGGTGTCAAAAGAATATAATACTTATAACCATCATCTGCAGTACATTTACTAGTTACCTGTACTAGATTTTACAATAGCTTAATCTACTTAACAAAGGTCTGGTTTTGACATTTCAATCATCTCAGATAAGTGCCGCTACATCAGCGTGCATGCCGTGCATCAGCTAACTTTTGCAAAAGCGATATCTACTATAGTGGATAATGGATGGAATTACTATTGAAGGGTGAAGTTCCACGTGGAATTAATTCGCTCTGCCGGCTCACCTCGTCCATCATTTATGCTTCTTTTTATCTGTCGATCCCGGAACTAATTTACATTTAGGTCCTCTTTATTTAGGCTTAGACTTATTGGTCTAGACTTTTAAGTTAGTTTATTGGCTTATATGATTTATAAGCCGGTGGATTTAATGTCCTAAGTTTAGTGGTTGAGTCATACATCTACCTCACATAAGCCAAAAAAGCTTCTTCAACCTAGCTTTTGGCTTAATAGTGTTAGAGTGGCTTATGGCTTCAAAAAAGCCAAACGGAAAAGCTGCTTGTTTGTTTAGGCTTAGACTTTTCGACTTATAAGTTGGCTTATAAGCCTAAACAAAGAGGGTCTTAATATATCACGACATATTAGTACTATCGTTTTCTTAAGACTATACTCCTACACTAGTTCTACTACTGTCTAGCTACTCCCTCATGCCAAAATATTCAAAATTTGTTCTGAAATATAATAACTTCTTCACTTAAATTCTCGTCTCAACAAATTATAATATTTCACCATTTAAATACTCATCTACTTTCTCCTCTTAACAATTACATTCTTCTCATATTTAATTTTATTTTTTTAAGTATCCACGTCTAATTTTAGAAACTTTTATATTTTAAAACGGAGATGGTGTACTGCTACTACTGTAATTAACGCGAAATCGGCACGAACAATGCGAGTCAAAATTGTACCGTGCCGTGTGTCCCGTGTGCGGATTTAGGTTGATGAGAAAAAATAAAGATGTTCGTTATTCAAACCAGATGTCTGTAACCGGTCAATTTCACCATTAAACTAACTCATGATCGAGTCGAGTCAGTGATGAGTCATCACCGGCCAGAAGATCACCTCGATCAACGATGATTATCTCCCATTCTTT